TACTTTCTCACCTCGGCTCCCATGCTCACACCAGGCATGGGTCATCAAAGTGGGGGCCAGACTGCCAGGAAATAAAATATCCATGCCACACTCATTGCTAGTAGTTAGCCTCATTTTGGAGATCCTGCTGGAAGAATTTCCACCCCCCTGCAGAAAATCAGAGAAATGGTCCCAGTTTCTCTGCCAATGGAATTAATTTCAAGAGAATTTTTTTTTGCATATCTATAAAGGAGAACTCCACTGTTTAGAACTTATGCATGTCTCTAACAAAAAGACTGAAAGACTCTATCTTAATGTAACTTTTAGTCAGTGTTCATATTGGAGCTATCCAATAAGGCCATGCTATGTGAATTTAGAAAAAGGGATGATGCTTAAAATAGGCAATGTGAGCAACTTCACAGCTCTAAACACATTTTCTTCTCATTAAAGTAAACCCATTGAAATGCACACTCAACTTGGTGATTTCAGTAGGATACATGCTCAACTGAATAGCACCTGCACCATATTTTTTGTTATCACAAGCAGTTGTACTTGTGTTCAGTTTAGTGAATTTACACAGGAAAAATGCTCCAAACAGTTCGATTGTTGCAAGACATTTGCTGCTGCTCTCATGATTTCTCTTCTATGTTTACCTGTATTGAATTACCCACCTCTACCAGGTAATTCATCAGTCCTTCATTTCCAATGAAGGCCATAACATTTATGGTAGCTTGATGGAATTCTGGCAGCCATGGGAGAAGCGAAAACAGATTCTTTCCTTCCTGAGCATGTACTCCTAAAAGGAGTTTCAAAACCACTAACGTGTTGTAATGGAACAACATGTCTAAGCTGTATATTTGCTGTTACTCAGAGATTAAGAAAGAGAACATTTACACAATCTTACATCTAATTTCCCACCAAAAAGACAGTATCACCGACAGTGGATGGGTTCTTACAGGAAAAAAAAATGCTACAGCTGCCAAAAGAATGCACCAATTAAGGAAGTACAAGAAAGCTACAGCACATGCTTTTAAGTTTTGTAAGCACCTGAAAATGGGTAGATGTACTGAGAAATTCAAATTTCAAAAACTGTCCAGTGAGAATACAAATCTGAGGGTAAGTTCTGTGTACACTGCAAGCCTACAGTAGCACAAGTGTGTGAAATATGGGAATGAATGCATAATGCACCTTCATAAGCAAAGCATTCCTAAGAGGGAACGGTAAGAAGGAACTGCGATGGAGGTACCATTTTTCCCAATGCCCTGTCAAGCTCATGGCAGCAGGCCAAAAGGTGACAGAGCCTTCTTTTTCTTCCCTTTCTTCTGGACTCTTAATGGAAGGGACATAAACTAGGTAAGCTGTATGGCTATTCCTTTTCCATTAAGAAGGCATGATGGAACTCTGCAATCTCCAGTCCACCCAAGCATGCTCATAGAATCCTCCACAGAACACCCTTTCTTTGCTTTCCAATATTGGAGTGGAGAAGCACCAGCTGTTGACCTTTCTTTAAGCTCACTTAGTGCATTTCTCATTTACTCAATAACTAATGTTTTCTGAGAGGATTACAACCAGCTAAGAAACTAAAATGCCATTTCCAAACACAGTATATATTGTTGTCCTATACTGAACTATTTTTCAATATAATAGACAATACACTGGAACTAACAAAACAGCCATAATGAACTAGGTCTTTAAAATGCCTGGAAGAAAAGAAAGGACATTGCCTGGCACCAAAAGATATCAACATAGTTGCCAGATGAACCTTATGGAGGTGGCTAGTGGTCAGGTTTCCATCTCTGAGGGTAGACCTTTTTCTCTCTCTCTGCCTTCAGAAGGGATATGGAAAATCCCTCCCAGGAATCCTGTGATTATGGCCTTATGTTCAACTTTCATTTGCCAAAAGTCAAGCTGTTAAAGCATAAGGTATGCTTGAACTCATGTGGGCAACCATCTGCTGGAATCTTACAAACCAGGCATGGATGAGTAAGATTTAGTGCTTGGAACCTGCATCCTTTACATGAACAATTAATTCAGAATTAGACAAGATTCTCCTGGCACTGACAGTTTATAGTGATAACCATTGAGAGATTGAGAGCACTTCTTTTGCTCACACATTATTTTCTGCTTCTATTAGTCACTCTTCAGAGCTATAATTATCATTACATCTTCACAATATTCAGCATTAGGTATTGCTAACTTCACTGAAAAGGGAAGGGGGTGGGTTCCACAAGAGATCAGCTGCATAAATCCAAGGGGAAAAATACAAAAATCTGTGGCATTCCTAGTATCTTAAACATATTTACCATCAGTAAACATTCCATATGTGCCAACCCTTCCTATCTCCTACAAATTCCAAAGGCATTTCTTGTTCGTTCTGGTCATGACAGAATGGGTGTGCAGTTCCTCTGGGTTTGCCCATTAGTTCTGGTAATCCACGTAACACCTCCCAAACCCTTCCATTTTGAGAACATTTCTACCAGTGCAAGAAAAAATGGTCAGGTGCTACGTGCCTCAAACCAAGAAGTCTAGCAATGTATATCCAGGCATGTCAGATTGCCGCAGCAGATTGCTAGATGAGGGCATCGCTGACCAACTCTTTTCCCGAGTTTGAAAAGTCTTCTTTTAAAACTGCAGCCTGTGGGCCAACAACTCACCACTTCAGGGCTCAAACTCAACTCTACCCCTATTTGACTATGTACTGCTTGAGCACAAGTGTTGCAGAATAGGGATCTTATTTCGTAGGTATTTACACATGCTATTGCTCTTTAAGCATTGCTGAGCTCAGAATACCACATCCAAACTAACATCCCAATTAACATCCAGCCCTTGGAGCCCAGGTGGATGGACAGACGGACACTCTTTCCCTATTTCATTTTCACTTCATGTTAAGAGTACGCACTGTGAGAAATAATTTTTGTCCTATATTTTAGTGCTGTATTAAAAGATGTCCACTTTTCGGAATTGATCTGTGGCATCAACATTCAAGACAGTGTGCTTTAAGGCCAACTCCCAAGAAGTGCTGCAACATAACTATTGTTCAGATCTTAACTAGCATAAAGGAAACAGTCTAGTTAAACAGGTTCCAACTCCTGCCCATTTCCAGTCTTTATTACCCATTTAAAGCAAACTATTGACTATTCTCTCCTGCAGGGTCAATGCAAACCACTTTCACCCAGACATTAAATAGCAATGCACAGAAAATCCTTTTCAATTGTCACCCTCCTCATTTTAAGGATGATAAAATCAAGAACAGTGAAAAGAACACGGAAGTCAGAGTATACAAACAGGTACAACAATTCACTGGCTTCTGATTACACATTTTTGCAGATCTGTCATTGCTGACAGTACCAGGATGATTCCATCAGAGGATTTTTGCATGCACGCAGGTTTATTGTGCTGGGCATATTGATGGTGAACTTTTGCTTTAATTTTGTATATTTTAATTAACAGCATTTTCAAGACCCAATTGTCAAATTCTAGGTCTTTAAAGTCAGGTATTAACTTTCTCCCCCTAGTATAATGCAGATACTTTGAACAGTCTTAAGGGATTTTTTTAAAATTTGCACATAGCATTTTAGGAGCATTTCCTTTCATGCAGCCTAGCAATGTATTAAGAATGTCAGTCAAACAGTCTTTATGTATTCCAAACATTTTATGCCACACTTCATTCTCTTCAAGATGGAGGATTATGGAGCAGCAGCAGCTGGGTGATACGAAGAAAAGAACTTGCCAAGCGACAGACAGGAGCTTTCTGGTGATTTCTTTTCTTCATAAATTGGTGGATTTCCAAGCTGGTATACGTTCTGGCAGAAGCCGCTAATTCAGTGGCAACCACAGTATATTCCTTTGTCTGCTGCATTTTACTTAAGGGAATGCAACATATTATTTGCAGTTTTACCAGGAAATACATGTTATTTGTAATTCACATGCAATGCACAATTATGAAGAACTAGGCTATGATAACATCATGCACTCAGACATTCAACTAACTTCTCCTGGAATGTTTTGAGTGTTTGTACCCATCATTATTTTGCATTCTTCTATGATCCTAGTTTTCACCATTTCATTTCATTCCCTAACCCATTTTCTAAATACAATGACATTGTACACTAGGGTGAAAATATGACTCTAGCACAGTATTTCTTTTGCTTTTTAATAAGGCATTACTGAAAAGAAAATAAAGAACAGAGTGGATAAGCAACAATTTGTACATGTATGCTATATGATGCCAATACCCATCTACAAGAAAGACAGTACAAAAGGAAGTCAAGTAATGGTCAGGTATGCAAGGTAAGGAGCAAGGTATGCAAGGTAAGGAGCAGGCTAAGTACATAGCCCAATGATGATCCTTAGTACCCTACAGGAATGACAACTTGCTAAAAATATATTCAGAATTAGAGTTAATGAAGACAAGACACGTCATGTGATAAACAGTGTAAGTATAAATGGAGCACACACCCTACCAGTACATTTTGCAACTGACCCAACAGCCGGTGTGGCCTGGCAGCTAGACTGTCAGACTGAGAACGCAGAAGATCCAGGTTCTAGTCCCCACTTGACCATGAAGCTCACTAGTGGCTTTGGGCCAGGCATGTGCTTTTAGCTTAACCAAACTCTCAGGTTAAGCTGTGAGGTTTATCCTCACAGTTGTGGTTGTGAGGATAAAATGGAGCTATGTAAGTTGCCCCAGGTTTCTCACAACAGGAGAAAACATAGACTAGAAATGCAATGTGATTGTGATAACTGAAATCTTTGGTGTTGGGACAGGCAGTTATTGCCAGTCCATCCAACTAACTGGTACACTCCTAAGGCAGGTTATCACAATACAGTGAATCGTCCTGCCTTGTTGTGTCTGCATTTATCTGCATCATCTGTGGATTTTATCAAGTGCAGAATTTTAAGGACTGCCACATACTTTCACACATGCACTGCCATATCACTGCTGTTCCATTCACTACGGTTTTGAAGACTCTTCTAAAGATAAACATGTTTACCCAAAATACTTTCCACATACACATAGATGTCATTTTTAAAACTTTATTTAAGGAAAAATGGGGTGGGGGGACAGTAATTTTATAATACACAAAAGACAAATTAGACAGCACTGCAAGAAGGCTGAGCATTTCGTTGCCACCAGTCTGCTTCGCAGCTCTACAATTAGTAATTGTACTGTAATTTTGTCATTTGAATTATTGATTAAGCATCTTTAGAGTTGGCAGAGTTTGGGGTTATTAAAAAAATCACGAAAATTTGTACTGCTACTACTATCAAAACCTAAACCCCACAAAATCACTTTGAAATAAACCATAAATATGTGATGCACATTAGTGTAACAAAACCATTTTTGTAAACATTTTTTCCAACATAACGTGTGCATACAATAAAAATAAAATCACTGCAGTCAAACAGTTAGAATTACTTTGACTTAAGATACAGAAAATTATTACTTAAAGCTTAAAACTAAACTAGGAATATTTTTATGCTTACCAACAGCACTGCTTTAAAAATGGATTTCAACATTTTATATGTAGTGGTTTCATAATACTGATTCGACTTGTAAAGTTAGCCACCTTGGCACTTGCGTGGAGTTCAGGGCAGCAGAACGGCTGTCCTGCTGAATGAGCCATTCCCCCATTCCCCTTTTGCGTTGCACAGAACTTCATCAGCATGTGGTGACCTGGGAGAATTCTTCCATATGGCAACATTCCTACATTTATGAACAGTAGTCTTTTTTTAAAGAAAATGTAACAAGGTGGCATGAGAGGAGAGGACAAGAATTAAATCAGTTTTAACCACACCATGCCGTCATATTTTCAAAAGGCATCTGGCCAGTCGGGTCCAGTAAACTATGCTATGGTGTCCATGCGAAAGACACCCCTTTGTTCATGTTTGCACTGGTCTTCTGACTTTCATCCCTTTTCTGCTATACAAAGGAGAGTTGCTGTTTTGGCTATTTGCTAACAGGTAACAAAAAGAAATGAAACCCACCTGCAACCTTAGCCCTGACATTGTGCTACTCAAAAGCCAAGCAATTTTAAAAAACAGAGACTTCAAAGGGTTTTCTGCCAACAATTATAAGCTGCTCTTATTTGCATTGCACCAGCTTAGTTTTGGGAGAAAAACCCTCTTGCTCCTTTTAGCAAAGAAAAAAGTTGGTCAAAGAAAAGATCAGCAGTTTGATTGATGCCAAAGGAACAGCCAATTGAGTAGCAGGTTCATTCAACTGGTGCTGTCCAACATGAAGTCATGTGTTCGGCCTCACCTGACCTCTTGGAGCATCTGAACTGAAGAATCACATTTTAATCTCTACCTGTCATGCCATGAAAAAGGTAACCCCAGCAGAAGACATAGCCCATGAAACACTGGAATCCAGTTCACTGAATAAACAGTGACCTTAAGGCAGCTGTCAACAGAAGTACCCAGAGAGAGTAAAAAGGTGGTTAAAAACCATGATGCTTGAATCATGACACTGTGCATTATTACATCACCAACAGATAATTACACACTCAAGATTTCTCAAGTAATAAACACATGTAAGTCTTTAAATGAAGTATTAGTCTTGAGACATTTATTACAAAGGCCAAAAACTTACTGATAAAACAAAACTGAGGTGTGTGTGTTTTTCCTTTAGAAAGATGGGGCGGGGGGGAAAAGAGAGCCAAGAGTGTTGATGTTTATTTTGAAACACAAGTATAAGCGGCTATTAAAAAAAACTGAATAAGCAGTATTTAACTACATTCTTAAAATAGTTTTAGTGCATTGCATTCTTAGAAAAGGAAAACATTACTTCCCCAAAAATTTCCTACAACATTTTACAAGTTATAGAACTAACCTAGTTCTTTGTTACTTGCCTGTTACTAAGCCCCAATGTTAAGAGCAGAAACTTCTGTATTTTAGACTAAATTTCTTGAATTTCCATTCATGATGAACTTGGTAAAAAATAAAGCTAAAAGTTCACTTTCAATTTTTTTTAAAAAATGACTAAGTCACTATGCCACTGCCATAACTCCAATTCAACCATCTCAAATGACTGCTAGTTTCTCCTGCTTGAAACCTAATACAAAATTAACAGTCAATTCTTTATTCTTCTACTTTTGGTATGATCACAGAATCATAAAATAGTACACTTGGAAAAGGCCTATAAGGCCATTGAGTCCAGTGATTATCAATTGGACTTAGTTTTCCTAAAACAAAACAAAACAAAAAGTATAAACCTAAACCACCTCTTTTATTGTATGAATTAGAAACAATGAGGTAGGCACAAAAACAAAACACGTTTGGAATTTTCTATCTCCCCAAAAGCTGCGTGAGCAGATTGATAGTAAGAGTTGTTGCACATTTTAGGTTTAAACAAAAATTAAACCTTTAACTCAGGCAGTGCTAACACTGGCATTACCAAGTCCTGGCCTAATGAAAAGTCATTATAGAAAAATGAACAATTGTTTGTTTAGGGTTTTTTTCCTTTTTTCAAACAAACGAAACCATCCGCATATGGTTTTTAGGCAAAACTTGATATACAGGAAAAGAATGACGAAACTCTTGGCCAAGCCAAAACTGAAAGTCCCCCACCTCCCATAAACCACTGTGCCTTTCACATTTTATAAATATTAATTTTTAAAGCCTGCTTCTTCCTCTTTGCCCACATATTGTCACATTACAAAAAAAGAAAAAAGAAAAGAAAAAGAAATGTCAATTAAATACATTGTTAAGATTACTATATTAGATTTGCCCTCTGCTTCAGCAACACTGGCTCCGCCTATATCCCCCTCCTGCTACCTTCTTCCACCTGCCTCCTTTTAAACATTGGTTTTCGGTCAGTCTCTTGCTTTTCTCACTAGGAAATCCGGAACCAGGGGAGGAGGAAGGGGAGAGAAAAAGGAGAGAGACCTTTCGCTAGTGGGATCCCAAATCAGACAGCACTGGATGGCAATATCTCTACAGCACCAGCCGCATATCGCAGCCTCGGTTTAAAAACAAAAAGAACCCGACACCAGTGATGGCTGCACACGCAATGGCATGTAGTGCTGCATCACAGCAGGTCTATACTCCAGTTGCAAATGATTCCAAGTTATGAGAACTCCATACGACAGCCATCTCTTGCCAAACTAATCATTCTACCAGCTCAGAAGAGAAGTCCTGCCTAAGGTCATGAAATAAACTTGGCTGCTTCCTCCAGACCGTACAGAGGCAAAGAAAACCTGTGAAGCAAGAGACAAAGAGGAGAGAAAAAAACAATTGGCCGATGAAGCTGGATGGTAAACAAAGGCAAAAATTACACAGATAGAATCCTTTTAAAGTACTAGGGAAGTTTGACATTAATGGCTGAGTTCAACACTCTGTGGAGCTCCGGTGCATAGAAGGGAAGTTGTGTAAGAAGGCCTCTAGCATATCCTCTTGTCATTCATTGATTCACTGTAACACGTATAAACTGCCTACATTGAAGTATATCACAGCAGGGTATAATAATAATAATGCAGAATACACAATGTTACAGCAAAAGTGAATAAAAGAGTGGCTAGAATTTATTCATCCGTCAGGAAATGCAGCAGAAGAATCTTCAGCAAACCCCAAATCAAAGTCACACGTGCATGTCTGATCTCTGTTGGAAGGGCATTCCCCAGAGTAGAAGGCTGCCATGCTACAGTCCCTATTTCAGGTGCTTTCCAAGCTGCTCTCCAATCCACATGGAACCACCAGGAGATCAAAGGACTGAGCTGGAGGACAAGAAACGTGTGTCCTAAGCTCTCTGATGCCAAGGAAAACTTTTCTGGTCCCCTGCTAATGAAAAGAACAAAGCATCCCTTATGTGCATCAATGGCTTTGCTTATCTGATCCCTGTGCCCAGCCCTCTGCAGAGTATTGCAGGATTGGGCTGAAGAGATTCTGGACTGATCATCAGGGTTCACTTTCCCCTCTTCTCTGCAATCATTTAAAGGACAAAACTAAATGTAATGTAGAAGACAAAACTACAAACTAAATATAATGTAGAAGAATAAATCCTACCTTGTCATTACGTTCACATAGAAACTTGAGTCTTTGTGCCCTTTTGTGCATAAATACACCATCCAAATGTCCTGTTTCCACTGATCGTATCTCAATAGCCTTTTCTCCCCAGCCCATAATTTGATTGGATCTAATATATGCTGTGAGATCAAAACAAAAAGATAGCCAGTATTAATCATAACATGCCACCACATAGAATCATAGAATGGTAAGAGTTGGAAGGGGTCATGAAGGCCATCAGGTCCAACCACCTGCTGTTGCAGGACACCAGTTTACACCACCTCACCCAGATGGCTGTCCAGTTTTTCTTTTTGAATGTCTCTAGTGTGGGAGAGACCTCCATCTCTCTTGGAAGTTGGTTCTACTATCGTATTGCTCTGACAGTGAGGAAGCTTTTCCTGATATCTAGCCTGAATCTGGGTTGCTGAAGCTTGAATTGATTATTCCGTTGATTATATTTATTATATTCTGGTGTCAGCAAGAAAAGATCTTGACCTTCCTCTTTGTGACAACCTATGAAGTACTTATAGAGTGATACCATGTCCCCCCATCAGTCTTCTCAAGGCTGAACATGCCCCGTTCTCTCAGTCTCTCCTCATAGGGCAATGTTTCCAAACGAAATTGTACATTTCATCAGGTTAAATGATAAAATGTCCCTATCTCACACTGCCTTAGCCACGTGTTGCCCTCTAGTCTCCGAATTATTTATTATTTATTTATTAAAACATTTTTAGGCCGCCCCATTCGCCGAAGCCTCGGGGCGGCTTACAACAAATTAAATTCAAGGAATTTAAGAACACTGGGAAAAGGTGCTACAGATCCCCTCTCTTTAGACATCTGTGCTCTCCTAAAGTTACAACTATAAGAAAGCACCTTGTAATTACGAATAAATCTTAGCCTATCCATAAACTCACTGTTTGACATTCAGACAAACTGCCTGCCAGACCAAACACAATGATGTGATAGCAATACTGGTCTATCAAACAGAATAGAAATATCTGGACAGTAAGGGGAGCTGTTTTTGTTGTTAGGACAGGAAGATTCTGGAATATTAACAAAAAATGTGATGAACAATTGGCAAGATATTTCACCATTGTACAGGCTTATTAAATAATCGAGTTGACTAAATTCTACATAAAAAGCAAAATGGATAAAACCTTCTCTCTCCAGTTGGCCACATCATTTTATTAGCACCACGAGTGTTTTAGACATCTCAGTGTACATACCCACTGATGTAGGCATTTCTCCCCATTGCAAAACCACATCTTTGGTGATCCTTCCATATGTATTAACATATACTCCTTCATCCTCATAGCAAACAAGCAGCTCCATCCCATCTGTGTTTGGTAGAATGATGATTGCATGGGGCTGGATACTACTCTGGATCTGCAAGCACACATATATCCAAGAACTCTTGAACTCACTGATTACTCTATTACATCTTGAATTTAACTGTATATTCCAAGAATTTGACAAACACTTCTAGAAGAACAGATGCGATCTCTTAAGCACTTTCCAAGGTGCAGTGGCCTTAAGCACTCCATATAGGACAGAGAGAGATCACCCACTCTGTAGAATCAAAAACATGGGAACTTAAGGGTAAATCTTCAGCTCAGAATAAGATTTGAACATGCGTTATTTATGTATATATCAGAAATACTTAGATACACTCTTCATCTTATTAGGATTTTAGTAGGGAAATAGCAGAATGAAAAAAGAGGGATCCTTACATGTGTTGGGAGGTAAATATCATACACTGATCCTGAATCCACGTCAACTGCATGAAATCCAGCACAGGAGCCGTAGATCACCTTCAGTCTCTGGCCTTCTTCTACAGTAAGATCCACTAATAATGGCTTATGTACCAAATCGCCAAATGACTACAGCATAGTAATAAAAAATATATTTAGCATGCTACATTAAAATAGGCTGCCTTTGAAATGTCCTTCCTTTCTCTCTTTCTTCTATCTGCACACTCACTTCTGCAGGCTTGTTCTTTTACCAATGCATTTTTTCACAGGTAAACAAATGCTGGAAGCAGGATTGAAGTAGAAGCTTAATTCTATGGCCCTTTTACTGAATCAGGAGCTCTGCAATAACAATCGTGCTTTATGCTTTGGTTCATTTTTTCCTTTCATGGAAACACAGTTCTCTATATTCAAGCCTTCAAATAATTCAAACTACGCAAAGCCCGTTCCACAAAAGCTGACAAATCAGCCTAAACTCAACACAGGTGTTGCACATTTCTATTTAGGAGAAAATGTACCCATGAAAAGCAGTGGCTTGTCTGCTTCTCTCTCCCCCCAGTTTAAGATGGGTCTGAAGGCTGGGGGTTTACAAAACCTCACCTCCCTGGAAACAAAACAGATCTCAGCACTAGGCAGTAGCATCTCCGGTCACTGATATGAACTTTTAATTGTCTTCTAAAACACCACATACCACATAGGTCCAGTTCATACCATCAGACAGCTCACCACTGCATGCAAGCAGCCATTATGAATATTCAAGCCACCACTGTTCTCTCATTTGAGCCCAGGCAATGAGGGCTGTACAAGAGTTAAACAACCTTTGTATAATCTAGGGTTGTGTGAGGTTTATTGAAGCCTGCAGCTCATAAACAAACCATAGCAGGCTGAGGTGATCGTACACAAGTTCAAACAAAAGGAACATCTGGACACTTTCATGGCCACACCCAGCCCAATGCAGCCCAAACTTGTAAAAATGCATCCTTACCTTAAAAGCCATAAATTTGTGGTATGGTTTGGGTGCCCAGGCATAGACTTCCACAGAACTCTTCAAAGCAATTACTAAGAATTTGATTCTTTCATATTTTACTAAAATATAAAAAGACAGTGAAAATAATATTTATATTACAAAACAAATTACAAGAATGTCTTTCAACTTCAATAAAATAATAAAATCATCACCATCAATACCTCCCCCCCCTCTCTGTATATATAGAGAGAGAATGAGAAAAAGAGAGCATTTATTTAAGAAATAGAATCACCAATATTCAGCAAATGATTTAGTTAGGTAGGCTTTTCCAATAAAAGTATGAACTGTCACCATTCTTCAGAAAGTCGCTTTTACAGAAAACTTCTTTAAATAAGATAGCTTATGTCAAATAAAATTCACACTTCATTCAACTAGGTAATAATGCTTAAATTTCAGGACCTGCGTACATTAAATCCCACACCAATCAGAAGATTGTCAGTCCAAAGTCTCAGTACAAAGGATTACCATTTTGCCAGAATATGTGTTAATGCTGTTAAGCCATGTTTTATTAGTCTGCTCTCCAGCTTTAGGGCAGCACTGATGTTTCTCAACAACAGCTTTAAACTAGCTACATGCTTATGGCCCCTACCCCATATGCCTACTTTTCCTTAGGCATATGGGGTAGGGGAGACTGGTTAGAACCAGCACTACTACTGTGTTGATGGGAAGCAAAAGAAAAACAAACCAGAAAAAAGGTTATAATGGACTCAGCCAAATAATGGGTTTAAGTTAAAAATGAAAACCGGACCCCAAAGGAAAAGGCATATTTTCTTTGCAAAAGTCTAGCCAGCAGCAGAAACAATGGCTCCGTGAACATTTCATTTGTGCATCCGTCTACAGCATTGTTCTCCAACATGGCGCGTTCCAGACTTGCTGGACTATCTCCCCCAAATCCCCAAGCAGCTATGTGGAGGCGCCAGGTTGCTTGTCTGCTCTATGGGATAAGAGGCTCCTATCATTTTCTTCAAATACCAATGTCTACAACCTGTCTCATGCAATAGTTCTGAACAAGCTAATCTGTACTGTTTTCAGAACTGTTACAAATATTCAAAGGAACAGAACCTTAGTTCTCTCTCCACTTGGAACTAGATGCAAGAGCATGCTCGAAAATGTGATGACATCAAGGCAAGAGGGGAAATATCCCCAGCCCACGCATGTTCCTCTTAACATGTGTCTTAGCAAAGATAAAGGCAATAAATGAATGCATTCTTATAAACACTCATCCTCAAAGATATAGAGAGAGACATTTATTCATGCTGTGTAATTAGGTCACAAGGCAAAACCAAAAGCCATGCGGTTTTGAGTTGAATAAACATATATTTTCAACAGGCTGATCCACTACATAATTCCCTCTCAACTGATTTTCACAATGCACACCATGACTTACCAACTTTATAATGTACACAACCTTCCAAGTCTCCTACAGTTGTCCAGCCTTGTTTCTTTTCCACCTCTGGGTCATTGTGAAGGATTTTGTTTCTTAACCACGACAGGTAATAAACTCTCAATTTGTTTTTCTTACCTAGAAAAGAAAAGGCTTGTTAGCACAGGCAAGAAAGCAAACTGAGAACACAAGTGAGACACAAAGTTTAACAAAAACGCAGTAGGAATTACAAATGCAGTGCAATGGTTACAATGGTGAACTGGGAGTTGAGAACCCAGGTTCTGTTTCCTTCCCTATATTCCCTGGTGCCCCTTAAGATCTGTAGGGGAGGCTCTGCTCTGGGAACCCTCCCTGAAGGAGGCAAGGAAGATCTCTACCCGGAGGAGGGCCTTCTCTACGGTGGCACCAGACTCTGGAATGCGCTTCCCAGAAAGGTTTGCCTGGTGCCGATGTTATATTCCTTTTGGTGCCAGGTAAAAACCCTTTATTTGCCTGCTATTTTTAGGAATAGGAATTTTAATTGGCTTTTTAACATCCACAGTCGAATTTTGTTTTTGTTTCTGAGTTTGCTCTTACTTCGCTCTTGGTGGTAATATGTTTCTGTTGATATTATGCACATTGTTAAATGTTGTAAATTGCGGTCTTGGTTTTTGTAAGCTGTTATGAGGCGATTTCCACATAGGACAGGATATAAATATTTAACTTAACTTAAATTTCGCAGCCCTGAAGCTCTGTGAATACTTTGGGCCAGACACTGACTTGCACCCAACCTACCTCACAGGGACTGTTGTGAGGCTTGAATGGAGGGGAGACGGAATGGGAGGAAGATGACTACTTTGGATTCCCCACTAAATAAAAAGGCACGGGTATCTATGTAATCATAATCATGTAAAAATAACTTTCCTTCTAGCGATTATTCCTATCTGTTATGATCAAAAAGCTATACTTGAAGGAAATAAGATGGACTAGGCTAAGCCTCATGTTGAGTTGGTTCACAAGAAACACTTCCACTGCTCCAGGTCATGATTTATGATAATACGCCTGGGGCTTATATTCTTGTCCTGCCAATGTAGATTCAGGACCAGTTCAGATGTAATAATCCTGGCTTAACAGACCATAGTTTAACAACACGGCAACAAGTGACCATTGTCTCATGCACAAATTCTCTTCATAATGGTTTCATTTCCTGGCTAGTAAGCCAGAATTATGCCACACTTCCCTTTTCCACAATACATTTTTCAATATCACAAAGAGGGTGTACTTTAAAAGAAACAAGAACTTAAGTGTGGTGTGGGAAAGATAAGGGACACACAGTCCTTGTAATTATTCCTGGCTTAATAACTCCACAGCGATGCTGTTGGAAGGATAAAAATGGAGAGAACTAGGTAAGCCACCTTGGATTCCTTGCAAGAGGGAAAAGGGGTGCGGAATGAATGCAGTGATAGAACAATATGGCTGAACCAGGAACCAATTGATTGTCTCAGAGTCATACATAAAAAAGGGATTGTGAAATTCCTGTTAAGCCATCTAAATGTAGCTGGGGACATTGTTTTGAATATGCAACCCCCAAACATGCTGATCAGGCCTTGCCATGTTGCCACAATTTACAAGCGGGGGTTAAGCTGAGTAATCACTGAGGCCAGATGACACAGCCCAGCTAAATGGTTCTGTCTGTGCTGTCTGTCTTCTCACAAGCACACTTATTCAGTAAAAGCAAACAAAAGCTGGTCATATTTTCCAGCATGTGACTTTCTCCCACCTTATACATCAACCTTATACAACACGATACATCAAAAGAAACTTCTTGCCAGCAAAATTTTATATATTTACTTAAAGAGGAAATGTTTTTATCTACACGAGAATAAACATGCTCCTCTTTAGTTCCTTCCCAACTAAATAGCTCCAAATATTCAAACAGGTTGTATCAAATTGCCTCATCTGTAACAAGGAAGTTATACTTTCACAGAAGTTCCTTCAGAGTACCTATTTTAACAGGTAAGGTTAACTTCAGGTGATTGCTTAGGAAGCAGATCTATGGAAATAATATTTTCCAGTACATTATCAAGCAATCTTTAAAAGTATGCCTTTTGCCAATAAAAACTCCCTCATGATCTACCACAAAGTTTAAGAGATTGCAACAACACTTTAAGGTATGCCTTTCTACAGAACTTCCCAACTATAGGGTTAACTTAACGTGCTTCAAAAGGGGAAACAATATTCAAGGAGGAAACAAGTAGATGGAGCAAGGAGTGCAGGATTTCCACTGACGCAATTCTAAATAAAAGATAACACACAAGTTTTAACCACAGCCTTGCGCCACATCCTGCAATATGCATTTTTTTAAATGACATGGTCCAGTGGCTTTTTTTTCATTGCACTTGTTATGTTGGAACTGTGCCACTGATGTGATTCAAACTACATTTCCATGCATTCAGGTATGATACCTGAGTACATACTATGTATCATTGGAAACGTGCTAGATAAACTGGTAGGACTGCCAGTATGTAAGAGCCATGCATCAGTTTTAATGCTGACACTGATCACATCTGAATCAAAGCAGGGCAGTGTCCACTGTATTCCTGCCCCTTCTATTGCACCAACAGGACTGATTGCTCATGTAAGAGGAAGCTGGCATTTCCAAAGCAAACCCAGAAGCAAGTACACATGCTTGCTTCCACAACAGTACAGATCAGTGACATTCCCTGCTACAATTTCTGCTCACCTGCCCTCTCCGGAATGCACTGCCTTCAGGATCGGCTAGCTTCCTGCTGCTCTTGTGTCATGTCCTACTAGTGTACATAGCACAGCACTGGATGCTTCCAATACTGGCGTAATCCTTCCCTTTACATCTGTACCTTCTCTCGCATGTCATTGGAATTCACAAGACAAGAAGATCTCCTATGCTATTAGCATCGTTACTTCAGAATCCTGCCTAAAAACTCCTTGCCTATGTTAACATCAAGCATTGCAACATGTTTTAAACATTGGCATTCTAATATTGTACTTAAAATGTGAGAAAACAATCAAATGACTTAAGGGTGGGTTTAACATGGCCTTTACAAGACCCAGCTTTGTGGGTGGGAATTGTCACAGCCTTCCCTGCAGGTAAGCAATTACGGGTGGGTGCCTGGAGGCACTGCTGAGAGTAGCTCCAGGGGACTCCAATCCTGCCAAGAGGCCTGCCTGTTGTGGACTCAATGGGCAAATGCCTACACCTAGCCTGAGCCACAGCATGACTGTTTCCACCAGCCCAATGTGGGGGAGAATGGGAGAACATAGAAGGGGAGTGCCCCTTTGTGGGGAGCACAAGGGCAAGCCCCCCTGCTCTAACGGCGCTGTTACTCTCTGTGCCTGCACAAGCCACAGATGTATGGGACCAAGTGAGGGGTTCTGATGAGGGCCAATTATCACCAGGGAGGGATATGGTGTTGGGTGGAGGGCTAGCCTGGTACGGGGAATACGGCCCAGGCAATTAATAACTCTGCTGTGTTCCAGCCCTGCTCCCAACTACAGGTTTAGTGATTTCCCTATCAGCCTGCTTTCACATCTCCAAATGCAGCTTTTGAATGCCAGATTGGTGCACAGTAAAACCAACCTCTTCCATGATTTGATAGTGGGCGAGGCAGCTGATCTAGCATGCATAACTGAGATCTGGGTGGGTGAATGTGGGGGAAGGGGAGTCTCTCCCAGCTCTGGTCACCTGGATAGTTGGTACAGCATCAAGGTAGACTGGAAGGCTGGGGAGGGGTCATGGTGCATAGGAACTATGAAAGTTTTTCTCCATAGCTATGCAGCAAAGCCCACATGTGTGATGCACAGAGACCATGACAAAGAAGGGGGAATTGTCGTGCTCTATAGGAATCCTCTCTCCACCTGACTCCTAATCTAGAGTGTTTGCATCTTGTACTGGGCCAGTGGGACAGATTGTGGATTCTAGTGTACTGTCCACCCTGCGAGCCAACAGTCTTCCTACCCGAGCTGACAGAGATTCTCTCAGCTGCAGCGTTGAGGTCACTACCACAAATACATACCACTCTAGAACAGGAATAGATAACTGGGTGCCTCCCACTTTTTTTTTTTTTACTCCAAATTCCATAATCCTTAATCATTGTGCCCGCTGTCTGAGATTGAGCTATTCATTGTCCAAAACATCTGAAAGACCTCAGGTTGTCCACTCCTGCATCAGGAGATGTGATCGCAGTTGGTTCTACCGCTACAGGATCCTTCAAAGAATCTTGTGAAAGACTGAATCTCATCTTCTGTTCACAGTAATTACACCACAAAGATCAATCCTACTTGAATACTGGAATGCTAAAGAAATTTTCAGAGCCATTATGTTTCTCAAGACCTGCATGATCTGACATGATGCAAAGCAAACTGCAGCATGGCAAGTACTTCATATACCAAAATGATAGGAATACTAGAGATAGGATATGTGCAAGCACAACACTATTTTTTGAGTGCAGACAAGGCAGACATCATATGATGATGCCAATTATTACGTTTAAAATATATATCACCCTTTATTTCATTTAACAAGAATTTTGTTAAAACAATGAAAAATACAAAAATAAAAAAACCTAAAGAAGTTTAGCTTCTGACCAGACTCTGTGGTGGAAAGGTGAACTAATTATGCACACCAAACCTGAAAACAATTATCTATGTCTAAAAGCATTAAGCCTAGGCAGTTTCCACATTGATCATCTGATGAGCTGGATGTGGTCTACAGAAAGTCTTTGAGCAGGGTTGTGCTACTAATACTGCTGGTTTATGCTGCTAATAATGTTGTACACATGTTAAAGATTCATGTTAAAGCAGAAGCAGTAAAATCTACTTTTGGTATGTGTCACTTCTGTAAACTTAACATTTAATGCAGCAAAACAAATAAATGCCTTAGGATTAAGGTGAATATATGGACTGGTCAGTTGGAATGCACAGCCATTAACTTGGTTTGGATGGCACACTACAACTCTGTAAATTATTTAATCCATGACAAGTCATGGCAAAATTGAATATACAAGATTGGATATGCAACCTCCATAATGGGATTATTGTGACATGTGAACAGGACAAATGTGAGTTATGTGAGGCTTAAGCTAGGTTATGACATATCTAATTCATTCTTGCTAGGTTATGACATGTCTAATTCAGTCAGGATCCATAAGCGCAAATGGATCTAAATGTGCCTACATAGCTCCTACTTTCACGGGATTATATTCAGGAAGTGTCTTCTATCAGGTCAGCTCTCTGTACTTGTATAAATGTTCCAAATAAATAAAATAAATAAAAAGAGTAACCAGTACAGTGGGTGGCATGCAGTTACTGTTCTGGTGTTAGCCATTTTCAAAACACCAGCCCTTCCCAATTCAATCGGTCAAGCATAATGCAAACCAAGATCAAGAAGGCAGCAGGAACTGGCCTGCAAAACAGAACAGTATGAGTGAACCCATAAGCCAGGGGTACCCAGTGCAGCACTTGTATGCACCTATGAAGGACCAACAAAGGAGTCTCAGCATAGTGCCCATACATAGCAGAAAAAGAATTCTGTTTTCCATTTTGGTTAATAAATTGATGCAGATTTGCATGTAACCATACAATCTTCTAGCATTACACACAGGCTTCAACATAAAATGGACCAAATATCCATATAAGCATTCATCTGATGTTGGCATATATATAGCATCCATTTAAATATCGAAAGAGTTGTAAGGTCCTCAATTATAGGAGGTTGTTCATTCTTCCAATTTTGTAATATGAGCTACAGAAAATCCATTACTCCTTCCATTTGTTAATTTCTATAAAGCAGGAAAATATTTTAGGAGAAAAGGTAAATCAGCTAATATTGAAGATTGTTCCACCAAAATTTTCTGTGTCATAAGCTTCTGACAAAATGAAACAGCTGCAGGAGATTGTGAAAACATATGTTTGAAAGAAGCATTAGCTGTATTGCACACCAGCAGTAACCTGAATTGGACAAACCCTTATTGAAGAGATGCTGTGGTGTCCGGCAGACATGCAACAAATGTTTTTGCTGAATAAGATAGTACAGCCACAGACATGGCAGGTGGACTCAAACGTGGCAATCCACTGATCAGTCATTTAATGGTGGTGTCCATAGCAGTTTCTCAAATGTGCCCACGGGTCCAAACTGGTAGGGAACCTCTTCCATATATCCCATTCCCTATCTTTCACCTCTAAGCGAAAGGATCAGGAGCTTATTCTGCATTATTTCTGCAATGGCTCCAAGTAGGGAAATAGTTGGGCAACATGAAACCTCTTTTAACATCTCTTCATACATGAGACTCAATTATTTATATAAACAATTTGTTTCAGATGCAAAGAATGCAGGAAAAATTAAAAGGAGAAGTGTATAGAGGAATGGTTTAAGCAATTTTGTTATCCAAAGCAACACGGAACCTATTTGCTTGTCCGTATGTTTGTTTTCTTTGAACAGAACTTGCATTTACCTGATATTGTCACCAAGACATTCAGACCTTCAAGTACATCCATTTGCTGGAACCTTCTTCGATTTATTAATGGATACACCTTCCCTTGGCCACTCCTGTCCAGCAGCATCAGGCCACTTTCTGTTCCCACTAATAAATTAACTCCTAGGACAAATAAGACTAAGTCAGAAAGCAAGTATTTCTTTGGCCAGGCAAAAGACTTTTTGATTGCCTGGTCTGAGATATCTCCACTTTTATGGCACACTCAAAGCCTTTTCACACAATAGGTTGTAAAAATGCCAATGGAACACAGAATATAAATTAATTAGTTTACTCCCATAGGAAATACTATTTCTATGCTTACAACATAAAAAGTTCATTCTCATATTTCATGCAAATCACCACAAAAAGGGAACCTGGCCCAAATTGTGTAACTTGGGCCAGTTACTTCATATGAATCTCATGCATACATTAGGCTGGATCCAAACTTAACCTTACTTGGAGCAGACCCAACTAAATGAATACAAACTGAGTTAGTCATATCTAACTCAAGACCCATGGATGCCTATGGGTGTATGTCAAATAAGAGTGTATCTGGACCCGACTTATTGAAACTTTGCTTGGTGAGCATACTGGGTAGAATTCAATACTTCTGCTGAGTATCTGTTCTTTCTCTCGTGCCCACAGGACTCATTGGGAGCAAAGCAGAAGCTGATAATACCAAAGTGAAATACTCATCATCATCAGTTTTATTCTATACTACCCAATAACTAAGGCTCTCTGGGTGGTTTACAGCAGCGCATAAAATACAATATAAAAATGCAGTTCACAATAAAGCATCATTTAAATTATACTAGAAAATTCAAAATCAAATTGTTCAACTGAATTTGAACAAATAACACAATAGCTAATGTAAATTAAATCATAAGACTTGTTAGACTGCTGACGCACCACCATAAATGATCCAGAATGGATTAAATGCCCTACCATCTTAACCTGATGCCAAAATATAGCAGAGTTGGCTCCAGGTGATCCCAAGTGGTGAGCCTGCTCCACAACTGGAGGGCTGCCACTGAAAAGGCCCTCCCTTCTTGCTGCTACCAAGCAAGCCTTGTCAGAGATGGCAACCAGAAGCAGGTTCCAACTCACAATTGTAATGTCCATGCAGACTGTGACTGGAATAGGCGGGCAGTCAAATATTATGGTCGCCAGCCCTGAAGCAGATGAAATGCTTGTTTCCAGAATAGGACAGATCAGCAAAGCCATCCTCTACATGCACCCATTCAGGAAATGGATGCCTGGGCTAGTTTTAGATTGCTCTGAGAGCTACTAGCTTCCTGCTATGCGAGTGGGAGATCCCACTAGTATGGGGGAGCAGCTTGTCTACTGCCTAACATGCCCCGCATTACCCTTTAACTTTTTGTCAAGTACAGGAACAAAGTAGCAACCAGTATTGAATTCTATACCCCATAAGGCAGCACATAAGATCTCAGAATTGAATCTCTTCTTGTATTTGCGAATCTCCGGAGTGTCACTTTGTGGCCGTGTATTCGTAGGGTTCACATTAACTACTGATCCTTTCCGGGTTGGATCCTGCCTTATTGCCTCTGACCTCATTGCTTCACTAGAGAATCCTACTGCAGGGGGATTGGGAGAAGGGGAGAGGAGACAGTAAACATAGTGATATTTTATTATACAGGCATGGGAGTACCACATTACTGGAAAAAATCAAATCTCAATTATGGACATGTTTTCCATTTAAATAATACTATAAACTGACAAGTCAAATAAAAGCAAAGCGATCGACATGGAAATGCCTTCCAAGTATTTCTCAAATGACTTGCACAACCGTGTGGTTTATTCACTGCTGTGTGTATTACTTACCAACAGAAGTCACAGTTGTTCCACTAGATGGAGATATCTGTAGTAATCTGGGGTCTATAAAAGGTGTAAAGGAGGAGGAAGATTTGTGTTTCTGCAGCGTGTTACTAGCGGACTGAGTCTGCAATGTAAATTTCAGATTCATTAATAAGAGTAATATAAACAAATACGTTATCTCAAAACAAACACATCATTCCAGCTGTTACAGGACAGCACTGTTTTAGAAGCCTTCTCGTCCCCTTCCCCAAGTGCTACCTACATGTAAATAGCATGAACAACATCTTAATAAATTTTCTATGCATTGCTATGTATGCTTAATTCAGTATACAGCCCATATTTAGATTTTTATAGAAAGTCTTCGAGGAGCATGTACCAAAACCAGCATAAAACAAAGATTTTTGCAGACATATAAAGCACCTATAATGTAAACACTTTGCTCTATACCAGTCGCAGACCTGGTCCTCATGCCGTAAGTAAACCACAGTTTGTCCACCATGGGTTGTTTGACAGTGTGCAGAAGCAAGTGAACTGGCTCTCAAACACTCACCTGGGTTCTGCTGTGCTTGTGCGAACCAGGAACTCCGAGATTTGAAGGAGAAACAATCCAGAATTTCAACCCAAGAACAAACCATACATTCAACTCAGGGTTGTTCTTCTCCCAACAAATCCAAGTTCCAAGTTTGCATATTACAGAGAACACACTTGGGCCAGCAGCTGCGGGCAAGCGTGTGGAAGCCAGCATGCTCACTTGCTCACAGACAACTCATGGCTTCGGAACTATCAGATGATCGTTCTACATTAACCCAGCCATATTGGCTTTTCCAGTGTCCCCCTGCAACTTTCCTTGCTTTGTTGTTGCTATGTGCCTTCTGCACTGAGCTACCGGGAAGTATGATTCCATTTGTTCACCAGGTTAATTTTAGGAGGATTCCTCTGGTCTCACAACTCTATTTTTTAAACTGAGCCTCTTGCCAGAAAGCTGCAGCAGTTTCTTCCACCAGCATTTATTATGGAAAAGTATTTATACTGTGCCAAACAAGGTGTCTTTTTGTGGAGGGACGGGGAGTGTCAAAGCAGGGAGCTTTTTTGTCAGGGAGTATAAAACAACAAGGTGAAGGTATCGGTTCATCTTAAAGTTAAAAACACTAAACATGAAAACACAAACAAAAGGAGAAAAGTGGAACAATGAAGCTGTTAAAAAGGGGAAGTGGAATGACTTTAAAAATTCCTTGCCAGACCAGGTGAAGTAAGGGTCAAGGACAACTGCACATTAAAGCAGAATGACAGGGTTAAAAATGAAGTGTTTAACATATAAGGTTTCTACAGACAAAAAGGGATGAATTTATGTTTACATTGTTTTATGCCTTTTTTCATACAACTGAATTGCTAGGTGAGTTTCTTTTGCAGAACCTCTATTACTGGAAAACCTTTGCTGCCCCCTGTAACCAGAAAAAACAAAAACAACTCCCAGAGAGAGAGAGAGAGACACCCCTGCTAGTATTTCTAACACAATACTTCAACTTTGACGAAACCCTGCTACTCTTATTTCAGAACTATAACTATTGTGCAGAGTTTTGAAATATGCTATTTAGAACAAGGGAGCAGATGGCCTTTAACTTTTACCTAAAATAATATCCTCAGTAAAGGATACAACTCACTTGTTTTCATACCTGTTTGTAAAGCAGTGAACTGATTCTATATCCTTCTGTGATAGAATGTTTACTAGTTATCTGCTCCAGTACATTTCACATGCAAAAGAGACACTATTGGGTTAACATGGAACTTTTTGTTACTTGTACCCCAAATACCACAATTAGGTGGAAATGAAGGCGGTGGCAGCAACGCTGCCATGAATTTATTCTTGCTTGAAAATACTTTGCATGTAATAGAATTTTAGTTATATTTTTCTTTCAAAGTGCATCTGCAAACAGGCTGCTGCTTATAATGCCTTCCAAGGTTGGAATCGGAGGCTGAAGAATACATGACTCAGAATAAAACTTCAGCTCTGAGTTTTGGGTTCACAAATGAAGGCACAGCCATGCCTGCTAGCAAACTGAGCATGGACTCAACTGACAGTTTTGCCTTGCTCATTACTTTGAGTGGACTGTCCACAAATTTCTCAATTAACCTTTTCCTTGTCACTTCAATAAAGCTTTCTCCAGGGATGCAATAAATTTCCTGGTGACAGAAAAAAAAACTAGGCAATCAGATTTGTATAGTTAGGGGTTGACTGAAACATGTAGTATCAGTATATTTTTATGAGCTGGTGCTAGAAAGAATAGGTACATCTGAGCTGATACAGCAATTTCTACTGTGTACTATTTCTACTATTTCTACTGTGTCCCTATTACTGCTAGACAGGGATTCTGATGGAGTCACATTTTGTCCTTACTCCAGTCAATCAACAAAAGAGTCTGAAAATTAAACTGAATCTGAATTTAAAAATGCACGTCCTTAATTAATTATATAAATGCAAACTGTTCCTCTTTTATATTAGCTTTACCAGTATCCATGAAGAACAACTCTGCATATACATTTTCCTACCACCAGATGGAACCTTTCAAACATGTTAACAGTATGCAAACTGAAAGGATAGTGTTGCTATAGGAAAAACTACCTCCTGTTTTATAGATGCCTTTCAGATCAAAACAATAATGTTAAAGAGCAATGTTTGTTTGTCCAACAATGCAAGCTAAACAATAACACCAAGCTTGATAATGCAGATAATCTTGATAATCCAAAAATTTCTCATCCCTGTACCCATCAAGAAATTCTGAAAGCAGCTTCTTGCGGTTAAGGCTGGAGAAAGCTTCCTTTCTAGTACAGTGCACCAAATTCCCCCAAAGCAAGGGCCCTCTACATGCGTAGTTACTGAGCGCTATGCTAAACAAGGCATCACCATCACCATCATCATCATCATCATCATTATTTGAAAAAGCCAGATTACCCTAAGATGACCTTCCAAAGTACACATTCTCCCCAAAATAGCGTTTAATCAAATCCCAATAAGGCAATCAGTTTAGCTTATACAAAAGCCATGCAGTTAATGACTCATAAAAAGCAAGAACAGTAAACTGTCAAGTTTGAGGTAAACTGCTCTAGAGTTAAGGGGCTTGTACATAAGAGCTGAAATGTGTTATTTTGCGGGGGGGGGAGGGAGTAAGTGACAGGAAGAAGAGCGGCAGAGGGGACCCTGGCTGGAGCTCCTCTGGAGACTAGCTATTAGGCAATACGGCTATCACCCTACAAAAGCAGCCAGCTGTGGTGCAAGACATACCTCATTAGTAGTTAGCTTGTCCTGGGGTGTCTGTGGGGACATGGTGGGTGTCGGCTGGCTGGAGGATGGGGAGGAGGAGGTGGAGGAGGTGGAGGAGGAATGGCTTTGCTGTAAGAGATCTGGCAAGAGGTGAATGCGACCGGCAAAGCCATTGCTCTCATGATGGCTGGCACGCTTTGTGTCAACTGTACTCTGCAGAAAAAACAGGCACACTTGTCTTGCTCAAGTGCTGCGTAAAAGCCGATGTCCCTAGCAAACTGATCTGCTTTTCATGTTGCAACACAGTGTGGTAAACAATGAAGCCTTGATGCCTCCAGTCAGACAGGTAAGTGGAGGTGAGCAAAACTCAGCCGTACCCCAAAGGAACTGGGCTGGTGATGCCTGGGTTTGCAGCCAAAATCAGCTTTGTGACCGGCAATGTCACCTTCCCATTGGCCAACCTGACATGCCCGCATCAACTTAGTGCTTCCAGTGGCTCTTTCTCCTATCCTATTTGTATTTAGTTCTGAGTTTTAGACATGCTCAGACAAAGTTCTTGAAATGCCTGTAATTGTCCTAATTTAGCTATTTGATCAATCTCTATGACATCTTAATAAAACCTCAGGGCCCAATTATGAAACTGATTTTCCACTGTCCAATTAGACATTTTAATTAAGGAAATTCGTATTGTATGAACCGCTGCACCAAACGGATCAGCAAGTCCAAGGCATGGGAAACGTTATTGCCACAGTTCTATGCGCAGCACTTCAAACGGAAAGACTGTGACCCAAAGGAGACGTCAGCTTGGCCTCGTAGCTTGCCTGGGATCTATCTAAGCTGCTCTGCTCTTCAAAGGCTCAGCATGGTGTAAGTGTAATTGGTTTAAAACAAACTAAATCATCTTTTCTTCCACAATTATCTCCATTACCTTCTCTTAAGATTGTAACAGAAGATTCAAAATCACAACAGAGATTTCTTTGTGATGCCTGCTGGAAGAGCCACAGCTCTTTAACCCGTATTTTGGACACAGAGTAAAATAAACTCTGCACAATGCTGCGAAGAGTCACTCCAATACATGCAACACACAATAGAAACCATGTGTGGAAATGATTATTCTTTTTGCATGCTCCAAATGTCTCCTCCACCGCGAGAGGCTACCTTTCGTATCTGTAATTCCTACAAGTGATATGTAGGAAAAGAGCATGAGAGTAGGAGCAAGTTACTTAAGAGATGGCACGTTACGTAGCTGAAGAATGCATTACCTGTCGGACGATTAAAGTGCCTTCTTTGGAGGGAGTCATGGCGGGTTCACTCTCCACATCATCATGCACAATCATGGTTTTCACAGATTCTGTCTCTCCATTGCTGAGGTTTAGCGTGGATCTGTTGCAAAGGAAGAATACGTTGATTGAGTATATGAGTGATCGGGCACCAACATTTTATTTCCTTCAGTATCCACACTAGCGAAGCTCTAGGGTGACCGCATCATGGAAGAAAAGAAGTCACAAGCTATTAACTCTGAAGAGCCTTTATTTATGCACCGCTATTCACTGACATGCTGATCACCAGGCAGGGAAGGTGGACTAAAAACTTTCAGGACTAAAAACTTCTCAGCAGACATACTGTTAAGTCAGAAATAATTCATTTATTTGTGATAAAAGTCTAGCTGGAATTTATTCATGCTTTGAAAATGTGATTTATTTCAATCATGGATTCACCTTTCTCTACCAACATTTTTCAGTGCATTATGCTATGTTTATTATCTGATATTTCCTAGTTATTGAAAAGATGCTGTCTGGTATAGGATCCTAGAATTGGAAAAGAATCCAGTCGTGTAGAAAGACAATCTGTTGAATAAACACAATTAATTACTGGAATGCCCTTTATTTCCTTCACGTTTAAACTACATTGCTTCCTTGCAGTTTAAATCAATTGTTTGTCTTATGCTCAAGTGCAACCACAAAGCAAAGCATCTTCTTTGAAGACATCTAACTGGGATGGTGTAACTAAGTATACTGCAATAGCAGGGCTTGGACCTGATGACCTTCTGGCCCCTTCCAACTTTACTATTCTCTGATTCTTCAAATTTTCAGCATATCCTTCCGCCTTTCTGTTAACACCAATAAGTTGGTCAGAAACTCTTTACTGGCATTATCACTCATGCTCCTGAATCATTTCCAGTTTGTTGAACAACTTTCTAAAACGGCAGTTTCGAAAACTGAACGTTGTAATGCAGTTCTTGCTAGAAATGGGCAAACCATGAAAATAAAGAAGTCAGCCTTCCTCAAACTTGCTAGAGATGATGAGAATTCTAAACCAACACTCATCAAGGCTATGATAATACTTTATACAAAGAAGAAAAGGAAAAAAGATACTAACACTGCTCGAGTGTCTTCTGGTCCAGAAGTGGATTCATCAACTCCTTCTTGCTCCATGTCATCATCATCTTCATCTGTTGTCCCTGACTCTTCACTAGATGATGAATAGTCTGTCACTTTATGGGGAGGTCGCACATCCTCCACTGCCCGCAGTTCCTTTGCTAAAGCAGTTAAATCCTTTAGAGGGAAGGAGGAAAAGACATGAAATAACTACAACTGCAGAATGGGATGCAAATAGATGAACTGCATTCCGACATCTGAGACGAGTTCCATTTAAGTTAACTGATGCTTCGGCTTTATGGATCTTAATATTATTTTACAGGATATAATTACATAAATACTACTTTGGTGTGCTCAAAATAATTATTCCAAACTTCAGTTCAACCAACAGTATCATACTTCTCTTAAAAGTAAGTGGCAGTACTATGAAATCATTAGAATAATTATGAGAACAGTAAAATTAGTTACCCTCAATGGCTTAGATCCTAAGATAACTTGGTTTAGGGAAATTTAAAGAAATATCTTTTCCCAGCCCTCCTCCTCCAAGCAACCACTTGAATCCTCTAAAAAGCCTCTCCAGAAAATCAGGGGGCAATCCGGGATTGGATGGAGAGTACCCAGCTCAGAGGATGGCAAGCATTGCTTCCTTTGAACCTACAAGAACACCTGCAGTGGTGTAGGAGACAAACCAGTACCATTAAAATATGAACAGTTAGCTGCTTACCACTTCTCCCTGAAGACCATCCACATGACCATCCACATGAACAGGAAATCAACGTTGGACCAAGAGAATGAATGGTGCATTGTTTTGGAAAAGCAAACATTAAAATACAGAATTAGTACATTTATGCAATCACTTTGTCCTTCTAAATGCTAGAATTACTGCACTAGCTTATTTAAAAGCTGTAGTTAAGGATTGGATGAGCAGAGTATGAAACCAAGTGGCCACCATTGTACTAGGAAGAGGAACTGTAGTAGCAGTGTAAAAAGAAGTGTGTTTTGCAAGCTATTTCCCATCACGGTTTTAGGAAAAAGAACAGGTAGTGACGGCAGTGGCGAGGAGTGCTTTCCTTCAGCTTTGGCTGATCCATCAGCTACATCCTTACCTCAAGGAGAACTGTCTAGCAACAGTGACACACGCACTGGTTACTTCCCGCTTGGATTACTGTAATGCGCTCTATGTGGGGCTGCCCTTGAAGACAGTCCAGATACTTCAGATGGTGCAAAACAGAGCTGCCAGGATGCTGTCGGGGACTGGGCGTTATTCTCATATAATCCCAGTCCTCTATCAGCTCGATTGGCTTCCCATCGAAGTCCGGGCTCAATTCAAGGTGCTGGTTATTACCTATAAAGCCCTTAACAGCTTGGGACCAGGATTCCTAAAGGAACACCTTTTTCCCTATATGTCCTCCCACCCCCAAAGATCGGCAGCAGAGGCCCTCCTCCGGGAACCCTCTTTGAAAGAGGTCGGGAGACAGAGTACTTGGAAGAGAGCTTTCTCTGCAGTGGCGCCCCGACTATGGAATGCGCTCCCTAGAGAGGTCCGCCTGGTGCCGTCATTATATGCTTTTCGGTCCCAGGTCAAGACCTTTTTATCTGATCAATATTTTAACATTAACCAATTTTAATTGTATTTATTTAATTTATTTTAAATATGTCAGTTTTATGCTCAGTTCATGGAATAGCTAATTTATTTTATTTAGGATTTATAATAAAGCTGTAAGCTATCCAGAGATGACAGTGGTGGACGGCCTATAAATTTCCTAAATAAATAAATAAAAATAAATAGTTCGCCATCTGAAGGATTTGCTTGGAAAAGCATCCCATGTCCTTGGACGGAAATTCCAGTTACTGCAAAGTGACAACTACATATGGTGAGGAGGTAAGTGGATGATGGAATTGGACTAAACCTGAGTTGGAGATGTAGTTGGGGGTGCAAGTTAAGCATTGGTCACAAGATGGGGGGCAGATGAAGCAGTGATGGGGGTGGAGTGTCATTGCCATTGCCCTGGTGCATCCCTCTCCTATCTTGGATAGTGCTCAGACCAACATCTCAGAGTGGTTGGTTGATCCAGTCACTTCCAAGTTCATTCTCCTCCTAACGTGGGTAATAGGCTCCTTGGTCCCAATCCGAGAGGGAAAACTGCAAAAAGCACTATGGTGGTATCCTAGTGAGGTACAGGATAGTGCGCCAGTGAAAAGGCATCAACACTGTGAGGTGAGATGGCAATGGGAGGGATGAGGCTCTGCTGCACTTTGCTGCAACAAGGTGAATATCAACCACCATGGAGAAACCTCAGAGGGAAGACACGGTAGTCCACAACACAGATCAGACCTGCCGTTGGCACACTTAGCATCAATGTCAGAGATCTTTTCATGCATTTGGCCTTTCTCAACTCCTCCAACTTCTTAGCCTTTCTGACCATTTTCTTGGCACTGTACACCCTGGCTGAGCACCTTGGGGTACATGGGGTAGCTGGAGGAGCCCTACAGCCACAGATGGTGGACATGGTGATCCCAACATCTGGGATGCACTCAAGCAGTTTTGTGCCATAGGCCTGGCTAGGTTGGCAGCCTGGAAGGTACAGCTTCACAATTCAGCCCACAGTCTATCCACTTTGTACTTCCTGGTATGTTTAGTGAAGGCTTGATAGAATGGACAGGCTTCCAAGAGGCGCCCCTCTCCTAGGCAGAAGAGGCACAGAGAATGGCCACCTGCTGGAAGTAGCTTGTTCCCACAATGGATACATTTCCAAAATGGCACCTAGAATGCCACTGGAAAAGAGAGAAGAGATAAAAAAGAAAGCGATAGTGTTGGGGAAGAGAGAAGAGATGATGACAGAACAGCAGGGTGGATAGGGGTTACATTTGGGTAAAAATGGGGTAAGAAATGATAAGAACCAGGTTTGAAGAAGCAGTGATATGAAAATGAAGAATAAGTCAAGTAAAAGCAATAGCTACTGAGAGAGGAAAGTCTCAAGTGACCCATGATGGCGTTCAGAAAAGAACTAAGGAAGTGGGCAGGAACCCCTTCCAGATATACTGTGAGGAAGGGCTCCCACCAAATGAGTTTAGCTAGGAGATTCATTCAGTCATTCGTTGTGTGGCCACATGGCTCCACGGGCAGGCTAATTTGTCCAACAAAAGGCCCCATGTAGGTGCAAAGCCCATGTGTGTGACACACAGAGACCACAAACAAGAATAGTCATTCCCACAGTTGGACAATGACTCATAAATCAATACTGGCAAGCAGTAATACTGTTTTTTCCTCTGTGTTAGCCATGATTATTTCATATAGCTAATCTCATTTATGACAAAGTAACTATTAATTTAACAAGTACAGAAGGGAGTAGAAAATATAAAACCTCTGTGTAGATTATATTTCTATACCTTTTTTAGTTTGCACATAGCTTCTAGGAACTGTACTAACACAGCTTCCTTATGTTTTATGATAATTTATTAAACTGTGAGTTGACCTTCCTTGCTGGGCTGGAAAAGCTTACCAGAAATGTCATGCAAATAATTTTGTTCACATTAACTGCAAAGCAAATTTTACAATATAATTTAATTTACAATATTCTGCAAAAAAGAAAACAAAAGGCACTTTAAATGTATCAGTTTTACATGAGAATCTTTATGCAGAAATAACATAAGGGGATAATCTCACCACAGGTTTGCTAGGTCTGAAGGCTTCCTTCTTTTCTTCAGTCTTTTTGGTTGCATTTTCATTACGTTGTGATGGTGAGCCTTCAGATTTTGATGATGCTATACAAACAAAGGTCAAGAAAGATGGAGGAAATATGTTCAGAGATTTATTGCTAACATGCTCGAAGCTCAAAACATAATAGTTGCGATTACTTTTGCAAATCTTTTAATACAAAAGCAAGTTATTAAAGAATCGACCTGAGAATAATTTCTAAACCAAAAACCTAAGTTATATTCTTTTTTCTTATTATACTGGAACACAGTACATTCATATTTAAGATGATTAATCAGCCAGGTAACATTTTCTCTTCTAAAACTACATTCTCATTCATGTCTGGCTGGACACAAACATATGGATTCTTGGCAATGTAAACTAACTGTTTTTTTTGTCAACATCTACAGTTCATTAAGGATCCTACCAATGATCCTTAGAAGGGTATCCCAAGGGACACAGAACAATCACTCTCTCCAAAGTTGGGAGAGAAGAGGCTCCCCCTCACAAACTTCCCCACTGGCACAGTCCTCAGTTCTCTGACAGAGATATTCCAAGCTTGGAGAGAGGGAAACAGTGATTGCTAGAGCAAATAGAAGGAAGGAAGCACCACCGGGATCCACAACTCCTCTGTTCCCCAGAGACACACACCCTCTGAACTTACAGAAAAATTATGCCAGTCTTGAAACTGGTGTAGTGAATGCTTCCAAATGGGAAGGGGAGGAAAAAGCACTCTGGCCACCAGACACAAAGAACTTCTGCACTGATAATGTCAGTCCAGCAGGGCATAGGAAAAGGTGGTTCATCTGCCTCAGGTTTTTTCTCTCTTCTGTGTATTGTAGGATTGTTCTAGAATTTTCTTCAGTGTAACACAATAGAAGACGGTCTTAAAAATAGCCACTGCAGGGGTCAAATCCAGGTGGAGTTAATGAAGGCACATTATAATGTTAACTACATTGCTTGAACTCCTGGCTGCTGGGCAAGTGGATGAAATTACAGCTTAATTGAGATGCTGGTCACTTTCTTTTTACAATATATCATATTTTGCATTATTTATCTTTTAAAAAGTGTTCCCTTGCCTCAACCCCCATTTCCACTTATATATCTAAAATATCTTAAATTAGTGGTTAAAAATGAAAAAAAGTGAGAAATCAGGACACTCCTCATGTTGAAGAGCATTCTTTTCCCTTACATCTCATCCGGAATCTCTCTCCAGATCCACTCTGGGATCCAGGGTGTGACCCAGGCTGTGAACTGGAATTGCTTGAACCAGATGAGCTTCCACTTCCAGGTCTTGGCACCAGCTTCTCCACTCTTTCCCAAAGCAGACGGGGCTCTATATTGCTATACAGACCAAGAAACATCTTCCACTTAGTATGCAATTTTCTCACTTTAATAGTGCTCTGACACTATTATTTTAGCAAGCCCTTGTCACAATACTTTAAGCCGCATCTAGCAATCCATCTAACATTGAATGTTAAAACTGAACACCTGAAACTGAAGTTGAACACATATTTGAGAGTCTAATGCAATTGTATATAGTGTATTTTAAGCCAGAGATATGATTGGACAAAGCTTATGAAAAATACCAGTGTTGGGGATGTGACAACTGGTGAGGTCCATGCTCTAGGAGGGTGCCTATTTTCAATCCTTAGAACTTCCTCATCTTGCCACTCCTCCTTGTGGTAGTGCCTGAGGTAACATTCACCACCCTCCTCATCCACTCAACCAAACCTTTGGTAGGCTGCCTTAATCAGTGCACAAGCCGTCTCACATTATCAAGGATCTTGCTCATTCCATCAGGCTGTACAAATGAAAACCTAACCAGCCTGTTAGCTTCTGAGGGAACATAATTTGTGACTAAGCTACTTGGCTTAGAAAAAGGAGATTAGGAGATCTGTGATAGCAATCCACAGTATTATGTATAGTGTGGAGAAATGAAAAGTAAAATTAATACAAGAACACAAGGTGATCCCATTAAGTTGAATCTGGGGAGAGTCAGGAGAGATAAAACAAAACATTTTTCCCCCGTAGGGCATGGGACTTACTTTTATGAAGGCCATTCACATGGATGGCTTTACATTTCTACTAGACAAATGGAAGGCAGTGCTGGACCAGAAAGGCCTTCCATCTGATCCAGAGGCACTCTTACTTTTTTAGGTAACTCCAGCAAGCATGACAGCTTTGTCACAGCAGATGCAAGCGATTTTATCCATAGTCTCTAGCAAAACTGTCACCATGGGAAACCTAGTCCTCCTCCTACTTGACTAAGCTTCACCACTCAGAAAAACTCTGCTAGACAACTTTGTGCAGATGGCAATGTTAGCAGAAAAGTATGGTTTCTTTGCCGCAATCACCACCACTATATGGAACTTAATATGGACTGTCTGGTTGAAATCATCTTGAGTTTCAATCCACCATCACTCTAATTAACCCAGGTAGCAAAATCAAAGTCCTGTTGGTTCTAATACAAGTAACACAAGCACAATAACATTATGTATAATATTCAAATAGTCTTTTAACTGGAAGTAAATATGTACATAATTGTTTCAGCTTTTCAACAAAATAGGAATATTTTGATGAAATTTTTTATTATATGAATCTTACAAAATCAATACTTTCCTTTATCATTTGTCAATGGCAAGACTGCATGATTTCATGATAGTCTGTGCTGTAAAGATTCCAGCTTATTTCTTCCAATAACTGAAGTGAAAGAACACCACATTACAAACCTTGTGGAGTTTCTTTGACCTGCTTGGTTATTTTGCTGTCCACTACTCTGCAATGGAGAATCTCTGCGAGATAACACAGGTGATCTGGATGTTGTTCTCACAGGTACCTTACAGAGAAAAAAAAACCAAACAGTTAAGATAACACAGCATGGTGAAAACTAGTCTTTGTTTTTTAAAGAATGCATTTGGACACATTACTACATCGTCGGCATTTTTAGCCAAAGTATTTTTATTGACTTAGATGTTCATCAGCTACACAGCCATAAGTTCAGCTGGACTGCATCTAAGATGCTGAAAAGAATATGAAGTTAAGTATGTAGCTAGCATACAAACACATAGATAGCCACTCACAGACTACTATGACAGTTTAGAACACAGAACTTTGAAGCAAGGGAGGCACTAAGCAATTTGTTGTAAAGAATTTAGCAAATTAAGCTCTAAGAGGCCAACAAATGCCAAGTAATGAATCAGTAGAAGGCAGAGACTGGGAGAAAGCAAGTTATATTGGACAAAAGTAAATCAAGCAAGACTGTACATTTTTTAAGGTCTAATCTGCCCAAAGACAGGCAGAAAAATAATTGTCAGCTTTGAATCTTTATTAATGCTTTATTGACTATCAATGCTTTCACAATAAATATTTCATTTCTATATAACAGCCACAGCCCGTGAATATGTTCTAATATTTAATAAAGGGGGCAATGTGGATTCTTCTCTAAAGAACTGTTTCTTGTCTAAAGAACTGTTCCAGATACCAGTGTCAGTCTACGGGCGCGCATTCATGCCTTGTTACTATTTTGTTTAAAATAATTAAACTTCTGTCTTTCTACTTCTTACCCTTGGAGGCACCTCGTCACTGTCTGATCTAGCCCAAGCCTTTTGGGTGGGGTCAGGTACCTCAGACTTAGAGTCAGAACTCTGACTTAGCACTTCACTGCGTGAAGGTGGATATGGGTCCTGAGAGCGCAGGTGGTGATGTGCAAATTTGGGAGAAGGGTCACTGAAGGAATGGGACCGCGAGACAGGGGAAACATTGTTCTTGAGAGATGCCAGATGGGACCACTGTACCTTACGGAAAAAAAACAAAACATAGAACATTCAATGCGTTCTGCACAACTGGCTTTTTTCCCCAATTAAACACAGAATAAAAAGGCAAGAGGGTTTGAGCGGCAAGATTAGCACAACTTGGACACGAGGCAAGGCAAGCATGTGGTGAAATCAATGGGCTTAAGCAAGAAAGGTGCCCAGAGAACATAAATGACTGGGAATACAGTATATGACCATTTTGTGGGGCATAATGGGCAGAAATGAGAGAAAAACCCATCTGGTGGACTTGCTTCAAAGCCCAGACAAGTCCAAGCTTTTGTAGGCTCCAAATGGGCCCCACAACAGATAAAAAATTTAACAGAAGTATCAAATTGGAAGAAAAAAGCATAGAATTATTCTGGCACATACATTAGCTTCAAAGCAATTTACTGATATTGTTAGATCATGCAGTAAGTTGCTTTTAAGATGTTATGCAATAATTAAATGGAATAAAAGATAGCACAACCTTTACTTTTCCACAGTCAATGTATTTATATATGTACACAATGGCACATATATATTTGTGTTCATGTGTATAAACATCCACTACACTGTATACAATACAATATACACATATTGTATATATCACAGCCAATGTATAATATATAGGCACATTAGAGACCACACAAATACAACAACACACACTATAGAAGCACAGCAGTACACCCATAGTAAAGACTGAACTCCTCAGGGAGTCTTACAGTAAGTATTTGCTATACCCTCTCTAATGTTATGCAATACTTTTTTTCCTAAATCCTCTTTCTACAGCAGCCTCCACATTTCACTGAAGAAAACCTGAAATAATCATAATTTTTTCTAAAGTGTAGAACTATACAGACATTTTGTCCTTCACTCCTATCTCTTTAACCTCTGAAATAGATTGGACTTCAAATGCAGCCCATGAACAGTGAAAAGCACATATCTGTCTCTTTCCTAAACAAAATTAAATATGGCTCCTTCTCTGTGTATGTGTACACATACATGCATGCTCAGGGCACGCATAATCCATTACGGCAATGAAACCTCTAGTAATTTGGCGGACCTGGTGATATCAAATGTATAGGTCAGAAGGAATTTAACAGTCTACAACAGAAACCTGGTTTTGTATTAGACATTTTTTTTTTTTTTTTTTTTGCAAATGAACTCAAGTCTGCTTGACTGGAGGAATGATCAGTTAAAGTGCATTTGCATTTCACTATAGACAATTAGCTATTAAATTTTGCCACTACAGCATCCAGCTGCTATTTCGATTGATTTTAAGAGAAAAGAAACAAGATTCTGAGTTAACTACTCAATACATATAGGGTCATTTTAAAAAATGCATCTCCTTGTCTATTTGCAAAGAAATATGATGAAAACCTCATATATCTCATATTTGAAACCTCATATTTCTTTGCTTAAATTTTTAAGGAAAAGTCCTGGAAGACATATTTTTACTAGGAGTAAAGATGCAGGACTGTGCAAATGCAGTGTTAGCTTATTTATCTTATTTATTTTTTGATTTATAGCCTGCCTTTTTCCTACAAAGGGCTCAAGGCAGCTTACATCATTCTCCTCCTCCATCTTATCCCCACAGCAACAACCCTGTGAGGTAGGTTGGGCTGAGAGTCTGTGACTGGCCCAAAGTCACCCAGCTGGCTCCATGGCTGAGTGGGGACTAGAACCCGGATCCTCTGAGTCCCAGTCCCACGCTCTTAACGACACCACACTTACCTCAAAGAAGCAACAACAGATAATTCACACATACTCAGGAGTAAGAAAACAGTGGTGTTTTCCACAATGCGGTTCAGGTTCATTGACAGGTTCCAAGCCCCTTTTCATCCTGAAAGCCCACCCTCCACATACCTTTGACAAGGACCTTTTCTGCCTTTACCTGTGGCTCCATTGGTTTTTGCAGCGAAGGCTGAACAGGCTCAGAATTTCCATTTGAAAAGGACTCTGATCTAGAAGGCACTGGTGGCTCCAACACTTTGCTTGACTGTTTTGACTGTGCTTCAGGAGAGCCTTGATTATTCTTTCTATACCTATCCTCAACCTGAAAGAAAAATCAAAGTATGTGAGCTGAACCTGCAGAGTGAGTCACCATTTTATTTGAAAGGAAGATTTTCTACAGCTTTTATCAAGCTGAAACTTAAACCAGGTGAAAAAGAAGTGATGTCAGAACTGGATCATCTGATTTGGGTTTGTATGTGCAGTCTGTCTTGAAAACGAGGGTTGCATTCCACCTAGATCAGGTCTGTGGGAGCTTCTTGATCCCAATTCAATGCACAGGTTGTGCCGGCAGCAAGGGTGCCTTGCAAGGGTCAGTTTGTCCTGGTTGCCTGCAGGTTAGACTGGTGTAATGTCTCTATACATGGCTTCCCCCGACATTCCAACTAATATAAATCACTGCAGCCAGATGTTTTGACCATATAATGTCTGTTCTGTTTGATGTAACTAGCTGTCCACTTGTTTCTGCACTCAGTTCAAACTGCTGAAATTCCTAATGGCTAGAGACGTGGATCTCTTAAAGACTTTTCCTTATGTATCTCCCTGCAAACACCACTCATCAGAGGCTCTGCTGCAAGTCCTCTCGCTTTGTGAAATGTAACAGGCAGCTTCCAGGTGCAGGACTTCTGCAGGGTCTAACTGATGGAACATTCTGCTGAGGTTTACTGGGCTCCATCACTTTGCTGTTTTAGATGGCCTGCTTACTTAAAAGGCGTTTGGCTGAGTATTTTGGCATTTTGTTTCTAATGTTGCTTGTTTTGACTGCTGTTCTTAGAAACTGTTATGGTTGCTGGCCTCCTATATGTTAATATTTTGCCCTTATTGTTGTTGTTCTTAGGAATGGAAAGTGCTAATAAAACTTTTATCAGATCCAACAAATTCTGATTAAGCCAAAATGGATTAAGCTAAGAGGTAGCAATCACCCAAGTAGATCACCATACTGCCACTTGATAATTAATAATGCTCTTTTTATAATAGCATTCCCTCATAACAAATATAAAATGGATTAAAATCACTCTTTTTTTGCAACAGCCTTCTGTCATAACTGCCTGCTATGGTCGCTTTTAAACTGTGTGGCAGTGAAGGCTGGAGTTTATCAGGCTTTTGCAATGATATCAATCATAGCAAAAAAGCTAAAAGTTTGAATATTTCTGATTTTTCCCTACAATAAACTGAAGCAGTAGAAAGTATGATGCATCCTGCTTCAGAGCATCCCCCATATAGTGTCAGGCCTATATGCTCATCAATTCTTAGCAATATACAGGGGGTTTGTAACAGATGTACAAAGTGTTCTGCAGAGCTAAGAGATTTTTTTAAAAATCTGGTATAATATAGTAATTATATATTAAACAATGCAAGAGAAATCTAGATATGGAATCATTTTCCTCCCATTATGGATAGTCCTTGTTCTACAGCCCATGTGTATGACGCACAGAACCCACAAAGAACTGCAAGGAGATTTATCACAGATCTGAAATACAATTCCTTAACAAATTCCAATGATGACTACTGAACAACTCCAACTTTGAGAGTATATGAACAAGAAGTAGAGCTGATATTTTGCTGTAAGCTCTCCACTGATTAAAAATGCTACAAAATGTGTCTTTTTCAAAGGTCCATCTGAAAATGTGATGGTCCTACTTTATGAGAAAGACTGGCCATTGATCTGCCGGGGAAGTCACTGACTGACAGTGACTCTCCAGTGTTTCAGAGTGAAGTGATTCTCTAGCCTACCTGGAGATACCATGGATTCGACATGAGAGATTCATCATGCAAAACCAGTAGTGTACCCCTGAGCTAGGATCCTTCTTCAAAGAACCATATTTATGAAGAACTCAGAAAATTAAGGGCTAATAATTTCACATACCAGGGATGCTGGCTGAAAGAATTGTTGTAATATGGCAGGCTGCCAATTCAAATCTTGCTTTGACCATGGAAACAGTCATACAGCCATGATTCATATGAACGTGGTTTCTTAACCATGGATTATTTGTGGGCATATGGGAATGAGCATGCTTCAGTTTCCAGACAATACTCAAGTGGACATTTGAGAACTCTAGCTTGCTTTGTTGTTGGGTTCTAGGTTTTTTCAGAGTTCAGGAATATGAAACAACCCAGCAATAAGACTTCCAAGGTTGTTAATAGAAGGTAGAAGTCACAGGTAGGAAGTAATGCATTCACTCACTTCCATGTGCCCTTTTAATTCCTGGATTAAACTTTTGTTGGGTATTAATCTTTTAAAATTGGAAATCACTTTAAATGACTTGGCAGCAAGGGGGATATAAGGGAAACAAATACCGTGTGTGTGTGCGTGTGTGTGCGTGTGTGTGTGTGCGTGCATGTGTGTGTGCATGCGCATGAGAGAGCAAGAGAGAGAGAATGAATATCTCAGTGCTCCACCCAAATTTGCAACATGGTTTAACAAATAGGAGTGCTGCGAGGATACTGTATGTGAAATGCTTTTAATACTGAATGCCTTCTACAGATACTAAATATTACCACGCCATAGGAAAAATTCTCTCTCATACACACGCAGGTGTTCTGCTTCACAAAACTGTTCTAGGAGTTTCCACCAGCATACAAAAGCTCATGAAAGAGGAGGCAAGTATTACTTGGCTTTATCTGAAGAGGGATGAGGTTTTCCCCTCCTGCATTTTCACTGGTCAAGTTTATTTATTTTTATTGTCTCCTGTCTCCTATTCCACATCTAACTCAACCACTGCTGAGATTGTAATTTTGAAGAATGCAAGTCAGACTCAAATGAGAAGTTACCTCCCGTGGTCTTTCAGAAGGCTCAAAATGGGGCTTAAGCTCAGGAGTATGATAGTTTTGTTTATTCCTTTCTTGCTGCTGCTGCTGCTGCTGTTGCTGCTGCTGCTGCTGTTGTTGCTGCTGCCGCCTGTGATCATGCTGAAGGGACAAAAGATACGCCTGCTCCTGCTGCAGCTGACGCTGAAGCCTCTCCGCTTGCCGATGTTCCTCCATCTCTCGCCATCTGTATTCCTTTGAGAAAACAGGCCAGTGCTCAAGATAGGTTCATCCAGGTTCTGAAAGGCATTTCTCTATTCCTCCTGATGAATTATACATTTACTTCTGTTACAATACAAGCAAGTGTACCAATGTTAAAATTAGACCCAAAGGAACATGTTGCTGTTTTACTTGGCAAAAAGTTTCATGCTAACCCTAGCAAGGTTGGAGACCTAAAGGTATGTTAAAGTTTAAAAAAAGAAGTCTAGTGTATTGTTGAAAAACAGTGTAGTTTTGGTGGGGCAGTCGGGGCAGGGAAAGGAAGGAGACAACAACCTAATATTTACATCCAGTGTTTAATAAAATATATTATTTTCTTGTACCCTCATTATTGTGAAAAGACTAAAGGGCTGTTCAAAAAAACTAGGCTACCAAACCAGAAGTGTTCCAAGTTTAAAAGGGAGAGAAAGAGAGAAATCTACTCTTTTTGCACTGTGAGATCACCATATAGTATTTTTCACATGTGCCTGCCAGCCCAATGCACTATACAATGAACAGCTTTTGTTTCAAGCTCTTTTGTACGTAAAGTTCAGCTGTGTCCAACTGAGGAAAACCAGGGACGGCAGCCAGAGAAGGGAATCCTATAGCTACTGAACAAAACAGATACAGTGCGTTACCAGTAACATGGCCTGCTCCTGGAGCAGCTGCTGCTGAAGAATTTCCAAGTGCCGCTGCTCCTCTTCTAGCTGTCGCCTGATATACTCCTGTCATATAGAAATTACCCAGCAATAAAAATGTTCACAACAGCAATGCATCGAAACCACCTGAACAGAACACCAAAAAGCAAACCAACTACCCCACATCACCTTCAGGTAACAATGCGTGTGTGGATTTTGTCAATCCCTTGTGAACAAGTTAAGAAAACCCTATCATCTAACATATGGCTGAAAAAATTTTCCATTACACACTAAAATGGGGGGGGGGGCAAGGTTGGGCAGGGAGCAAGAAGTTCACATCCTGTCTAATGAATTTTGAAAATGAATTTTAAGGAAACAAAAGAACAAGCAAATGTATTTTTAAAACAAGTTGAGAGTTAAAACACAGCAAGTCTTACCAACACAGCCAACACAAAATCACATGCAATTTTTAATTAAAATAATTAGTTTTAGGCACTGGGTGATGAACCGTTAGCAAGAGCTATAGCCAAGCTGAGTTAAGGCATCCCTTTCGCAAGCTTCCCAAAAAGAACCTCTGCCAAACACAACTCTGATCTCAACTATAGACTTATCCTATCCTCCATCATCAGAGCAGACAATGCCAATCTTACTGAAGTATGCAATGGTTATGGCACAACACAAAACAAACATCCACTAGAGAACGGATATAAGACCGAGTGCATCTTCATCTGAAAAACAAAGTCTACATTTCAGAAGCTGAAGACAAATAAACTTAACTCACTGCTTCATCTGGCCTACTAAGCAAAGTCTTAATATGCAGCACCATATCCAAAGCTAAGAATATCCTACCATGCAAATTAATGTGTAGGTAATGTAAACACATGCGCTCAAACACAGAGAGACAGTGTATGTAAAAGAAATTAATGATTCAGTGCAATGGTAAAATGGGAGCTACTCCAAATCTTGTGAAAGAAAAATAAGATGAATACTAGCTTGTTATAGGTACGCTTGCAAACCCAGACTTTCGATGGATTGAAGAGAGATGAGCAATTTCTTAAATCAGAGTTCCATGGATGTGTGTTTCAGCTGACACTGTATTTTTGCACTTTTTTGGCCCTAATCCAGCTCTAGTTGCATGCAGCTAGTAATGTCGGATGGGTATGCAGATCACCATCTATAGCAAAATCCCATTCAGTGGGCCCCAGATAAGCACTGCAAGATGGATTTATGTTTGGATCTGCAGCACACAGAGAAGGCTTCTTCTGCAGGTGGATTTTCCTCACTCAAGCGGGACAATGGATGGTCTGTGCATAAGGGCTACCTGGGATACACAGTTTCTAACACAGCAATAGAAGAGATTTATGCCATTATATGGTATAATGGATTCAGTTACTTATTACACATTTTATTACTTGGGAAATCCCAGAATAAACCTCACAGCAGAAAACGAACATCACAGATAATAAATAACAAGAGCATGCGCTGAACTTTTTGGGATATGAATTTCAGACTCAATTGTGTGATAACGTGCACAGAGCGTTCTTTTTCCAGCACTGTCATCTATGAATATCCTATTTTAAGTTTCAGGTGTGAGAGAGATGGACTAACAGCAAAATTTTGAAAGTTAGCCCATATTAAAGCTATTTAAGTATGCATACCTATAAATTTGTATACTCTGAATAGAATGTAAAAATTGTAACAGCACAAAATGTGGCAACATAAACAAGATAATTAAAAATGCATCTACTATGTATTATGGCCCTATGTAAGAAGTCTCAAAACATGTGATAGCTAATGACCAAGAAAACGGTGAAAATATTAAATGTTATGCTCAAACTGGCCAGACTACTTGGGTTTCTGTTTTTCCATCAAATATAATTTTATTGCCATTCTACACAGCATTAATAAATAATTGTACATGCAGTCTGAATATCACTTAAGCTTTGAATTACTGTACAAATTTAATGCTTAAACACGTTCCTTCAATGTTTTTCTCTACTAGAAGGTGGGAGAGAGATAAAATCCCATTTGATTAATTTGCATTGTTGGAGACTTACCTGCTCTCTCTCTACTCTCCGCTTTTCTTCCTCTGCTCGCCTTCTCTCCTCTTCTTCCTTTCGCCTCTTTTCCATTTCTTCCAATCTCTTCTTTTCCTCCTGTTCTCGCCTCCTTTGTTCTCGCTCTTGCTGTCTTCGAGCTTCTCGTTCTCTTCGTTGTTGCTGCAATTAAAAAAAAGGACTGATTGATCGATTTGCCCAACTTTTTCCATCATGGAACTCAGGATGTCCACATGTTGTTCCCAGGTAGGGTCCACTACACCTGCTGATGAGACTCAGGTCTGCTTAGCTTTAGCAGAGTGGATTCCTTATGTGCCTTTGGACCATACCCTGGGACAACGTAGGCAAATGTCTTCCTTTACCAGTCCCTAAATCAAGAGTAGCCCTCCAAATGTTACCTGAATTCAACTTCTATGAGATCTCAACATAGACAATATTCAGGGGTCAATGGGGGTTGCCCACTCCTATGCCCTAAAAAAAAAAAAAAAACTTGACTTCTATTGTTGTGCTAAGATGCTTGTGGGCATTAAGGATATTTATGTGCTACTGCTGCACGGGGAGTCCATCTTCTCCCACAGGAGGAGATGGTACCTGGCCATCGTCACCTGATAGTTTGCCATTTTCAGAGTCGGCATGGCAAAGGAATAGCAGTGCTGTGGATTTAGCCCAAGGCCGTGGGCCATCTGCAAGACCTGGTCAGAGAAGTCTCAGGTCTTCCAAAGGGGAGGCTGCGTCCTGTGGAGCCCTGGCAGCATCTGAGGATGGTGGTGATGGCTGATCTGGCGAGGTAAACTCCAGGTCCAACATTTATTTGTCAGAGCATGGAACCAAGGCTGATATGTCAACAGGTGTGGGGCTGGTAAAAAGACCTGCAGCAGTCGAATGTGCAGTTGTGGTGTGCACTGGGTTTTGGTGTCTCTCTGGGCCTGGATGTGGTTGGCTGTGGTTTGGTCTGAGGTGCCTTTCCACATGCTAGGGCATGGTTGGAGTGGGCTGGGAGCCAGTATAATCATTCTCGAAATGCAAAGTCATAGGATGTCCAGTGCATTCTATAGAAGTCCCTGTCATAGTTCCTCATGTAAGGGAACATCAGCCAGTCAGCCTTACGGCCCCAGTCAGAGAGAGACAAGCAGGACCAGTGTCTGCAGCAGTCAGGTTCAATGGGCCAGGGCTCACTCAGGATTGGTGAGGGAGACGAGGCATGCTTCAGCCCCATGGTAATGAACAGGGTTTGTTGCCCGGCTAGAGAGAGCGCTCTATCTCCCCCTCTGCAACTGAGGCGGCTGGTGCTGCTTGGCGCATCAGTACCAGGGCTTCTTGGTCTCCCCTCAGCAATCTCAATGTCTGGCACTCAGTGCCAGGCTCCTGCCTGCTCCATGTTGAGGGTGCATGGAGGGCCAGCAGCGGGGGCCTTGAAGTGCTTGTCACAGTCTCTGGCCTTAGACGCATGGACCAATTTGGAGGCTTTCACCTTTGCTTTGATTATTTCCATCGCATGGCCTGAGGTTGGGAGAGCTCCAGAAGATGCCCCTGCCACCATGGCATGAGGCACCGAGAGAGATGCCAGGGCCTCCATCCTGGATATGTGCTCAGGCGGCTGGGGGGAGTCAGTCCCATGGGGGCCCCTTACTCCAGAGTTCCCCTTTCTGGTGGTCGGCCAGTGATGCTTTCGTGCTTGCTTGGCAGCCGTAACAGGCACCCATCACATGGCTCTCTCCTAAGCAGAAGAGGCAAAGTGAGTGGCTGGCAGCCGGCAGCAGTTTGCTGCCACAACTTGAGCAATTTCTAAATGGAGCTTTGAGAGGGGTCAGGAAGGTGAAGATGAAGCAGGGAGGAAGACAAGATGGAAGGAGTGGCAGAGGAAAGCAGAACAGAATATCCTTTTGAAAAAAAAAAAAAACCCTTTCTTTTTGAGGATGAGGACAGACAAGAAAAATGGATGAGATTGGAAAGAAGGATAGAAGAGAGAAATTCTTGTTTAACAGAGAAAATAATGCACAAAAAGGTAAGTGGAGAGCTATGAGGAGTGGAGGAGGAACTTTCCAATGCATCCACAATGACAGTCAAAGAACTGAGGATCAGGCAGAATGCCAGGATGGCCAAATAAGAATTTTAGCTTTGGAATCGTCCCAAATTCCACACATGTCTGCAGAGCCATTATGTGTGACGCACAGAGACAACAAAGAAGGAAACTGTGTATATGATGGAAGTCAATCAAACATGAGCAATCCACAAACATTCTCATTGAAGAACAAGGCCAAGATCACACAATGATTTCAGCACCTTCCGTGTAGCAACTAAAACAAGAATCAGGAATAAGCCATTTGTAGGATGGAAGATCCTTGACCATTTGCCTACCAATCTTGAGCTGCCCTCCTGCTCCTTCAGCTTGTATGTTTCATTCATCAGCAAGGTCACAGATCGTCTTTCGGGAGAAGACTGAGCCAAAGTAGGGGCTGAGCACTTCTACCTTTGTCACCTGTCATCATTTTGTCATCCACACTGTTGAACTCCCGTTTCTTTCCTGGTCTCAAGTTGCTTGCCTAGTCACTACTTAATTCTGATCCTCTAATATGTATAGTCATGGAAACAGAATTTCTTCAGCCTTATTAGTTCAGTATAGAATCTGATACACAAAATCTCTGAAAAGACTGTATGAAAACACTCATTTTTTCATTTAAAAATAAACATTGTACGTATGTGCCAGTGAAAGATGAAATGGGATATGGGCAATTTTTCTTTGCATTCTGAATGCTATTACCTTCATAATCTGATTCTGCAAACCTAAATTTCCTGGAATCCATCAAGATGAAACATTCTCTCCTCAGAATCTCGTTTTAGTCTATCAGTATATCTGGAACTATAACACTATTAATAGATTTCCACAAGGATATATAGAAACTGGAAGAATAGCTGTGTCAGTTTGAAACAGTAGTTCTGAAAGATGTTAAATGACCCGTTTGTGCTTGCATTTAATTATCTACGAACTGTTATCAAATTCTTCAGATTGCAACTATTCAGAGTAGCTAAGAAATATGAAGGTAAGGAAAGAAACAAAGTCCAGTATGGAACACAAGCACAAAACACAAATAGATGCAAAAATAAAAAGCAGATTACAGCATGGTACAGAAAATCTGTGAAACTAGAAGCTCCATTTAAGTTCTTTAGCTATTCTATTTTCATATTTTTAACCCAGTTTGTGAAAATTCGAGGGCTATACCCATATATATGTGCTGTTAAATGTTGTTTATACAGATCATGTATGTGCGTGCATGTGCACATGCATGTGCACTTGTATGCAAGTGTATCCTCCATACAATCTTTTGCAGTCCCTTGTTAGTATGGCTTTCTTCTGCACTTCCAATATGATAGATACTTCCATGGCAAGCAATAGCTTGGAAATAATTTTAAGTTTAGTCTGATGCAAACAAGTTGCCTCAAGCCTTGAGTTCACATGTTTCCTTTTCTGCAGTGTCCTCCAGGAACACTGCAAAAAAGACATTCGGAAGCTTTCTGCAGAGTAACCCTAATTTGCAACAAGAACCAAACCAGCTGACTGCTGGAAACAAGGCAATGTCAAACTGTGGTTAATAAGCTAACTTTTCTCTGCTAACCTCATTTAAGTATTAACCACAATTTTAAGCTGTATCTAATATAAATTGGATGGTTCAAATCTATCTCATAGTCATATTGAAGGAAGATGGGTAAAGCCAAAGTGTGGTTGTGGCTTATCCTCATAACGTTAAAACTAGAGTACAGTATGATCCCTGCATATGGTTAGTGCCAATGATGGAATAGAAGGCTGATGAGATATAGTACACTTAATTTCTACTTACACATCTTTTAAGACATAATGTAAGACATGTCTTAAGACATATTTTAAGGTATCACAGAGGCTCCCTAGTTATTATATTATTATTACTATTATTTCCAAATTACTGGGTCAATCCAATAAGTCTTAAGTCCCAATTTATTGTTTTCAATAGGACATGGTTGGAACTGCCCATTAAAATCAATATTTATTCAAGGTATAAGCATTCTATTAAAATGTTTTGTACTTTTCTTGATCTTCAACCCACATGACAATGAAAAAAAGCTGTTCTGGATTGTATCCAGTTTAGTATGTGATGGGTTGATGCAAACATACTGTAAATGCACTGTAGCCTTTAAACTCTTAAATACTGCTAGGGGCACTATTTTCTGTAACTATTCCCAATACAAGTCTGTAACATCTCTGTCAAATCCAGAATGGTGCCGAGGGGGCCCCAGATATTTTTACAGTGCTGGCAATGCTGTCCCAGAAGCTACTTACATCTATAAACCATTCTTTAATTTCCATCAGAAAGCACTAACTAGAAACTGCTATATAAACAACCTTAAATGTACTCATCAAAAAAGACAACCTAGCTTACTGAAATAGGTAACTAAAAGATATTTCAGCTGTTGAGAAGCTCAATAATAAAAGGGCAAGTTAAGAGTTGAAGAATGGGGAAGCCAAATATGAGATGGAACCATTCCATAAAGGAAGCCACAGACTGGAGTTCGTAAAAGCTGTGCAGAGCTATCAAGGAGAGGACATTTTGAAGGGTAATCATAGGGTCACCATAACTCAGAAATGACTTGATGGCATATAACAACATCATTTCATTTAACTTTTCTTGTTTTGCTTTCTTAACATTTGCTTCACAAAAGGTGATTTAAGGACAGAGTCCTCAAATACCCCAACTTTTGTAGTTTTTGATTTGTTTTCTTTCTCTTAGACCCAAACTACATGTTGCTTTTTATTCCACTGGTGCCAAGGGTAACTTTCTTACTATTCTTAACGGTCATGTGAAGGGGTTCAATTTGGGAAGCAGGAAGGTGGAGCTACAGCTGTGGAGCGAAATGTTAAACCTCTCCATGCACTATAAGTTCCTAGCAAGGGGTCACAGAAGACATTACTTTAAAGACTTAGCTAGCAGCTATGTCTCCCTCACCCTTTCCACTCTAGTTCAAGCAAAGAGAGGGAATCTAGATGTAGCATGACTGTCTTAGCTAATGAGCACATCAAGTATGCTAAACCATTTCCCTTACAGAAAACTCTTGTCATGACATCTGAAAGTTTTGTTTATGGTGTCATGGTGCTTATGGATAGTTCCAGTAATGAGTGCTTATCAGAGACAAGAGACAAGCATCTATGTGTAAATCACCCTTTAGACACAGTACTACACTCAAAAACTGGTCTAGCCCTTCCTATTTTTGTGGGACTAATACGACAACATGTAAGATCTTCTAGAAAAACACTGCCTCACAAGACAGGAAGAAAGCAAACAATTTAAGGAAGCTATTCAAACATTCTGTAAACACTAGAAATGCAAATGATTACTTCTTCTTTTTCAAGGCTAGAGTCCGACAGAAACAGTACCAATAACCAAAAATAAAGTGAAATCACATTACTATAGATGAAAAAGCAAGTGCTTTTGGTAAATGGTTAGTTACTTTGGGAACTTTCAACACAGGAATAATAATAATGATGATGATGATGATGATGATGATGATGATGATGATGATGATGCTGGGTTGTACTGTGCTGAAAGCCTTGTCTTTTAGAAACACCCTGATAGCTGTCAAGAGTCATTGCCAAATTCAAATCCTGTAGAAAAGAATTTGCAAACCAGGCAACTAAAATGTCTTCTTTGGGTTAGCTATTCATGGCAGCTAGATTAATCGACTTGAAGGAAGAAGTTGGCATAAGAAATGCTGGGTAGCAGGTATGGAATTACAAGGATGACCTATATATGGGTACCTCAAGGATTCAGGAACTCTAAGTGTTAAAATAAACTCAGGCAAGGATTCACACTCTTTGGCCCTTTAACCAAAGGCAAAAAAGAACAGCCTTTTCCATTTTGGCCTGCTTCTACCTCTTCTAGTCGCCGCCTTTGCTCTTTCTGCTGTTCAATGCGTTTTTGTCTCTCTGCCAGCAGCTGCCTCTTGTACTCCTCTTGCTCTCGTAGCTGTTGTTCCTGTAGCAGCTGTTGTCTCCGAAGAGCCTCAGAACGTTCCTTGTTTTCCTGCTGCAATCTCAGGAAATCACGTCTGAGGGTAGATTCTCCAGGCACATTAACAATAGAACTGTGAGAAGGGAAAAGCTTATTAAAACCCAAACATAAGCCAGTGGGTAAATAACGGACTATGCTGTGAACTCTTTCATTTTGCATCTTTGTTTTTCCCAGGAGCACTGTTACATGGGTGCGGTGAGTGAAATCAACATTTAGTTATTTTGGTCCAGAACTATGAAGAGGCACAGTGTTTCTTTTAAGTCCCAGGAAAAGTTATTACACACACACATCCCCCTGGATCTTCAAACTTACTAGGTTATTTTTTGATTTTTTCAGCATCCTGGTGCTGTGAAGTGTTAACCATGCATCAAGGAAAATTTGCCATCCTGTAGCATTAGAGCCAAAACAGATTTTGCTTTCAATTTTTCTCTAGCAGTTACTCTTTTGCATTTTAACTCTAACTGGAGAGCCAGTGTGGTGTGGTGGTTAAAAGTGTGGAACTGGGACTCAGATGACCCGGGTTCGAGTCCCCGCTCCACCATGGAGCCAACTGGGTGACTTTGGGCCTGTCACAGACTCTCAGGCCAACCTACCTCACAGGGTTGTTGTTGAGGGGATAAGACTGAGAGCAGCAGGAGAATGATGTAAGCTGCTTTGAGTTCTTTAAAAGAAAAAAAATGGGATATAATCTAATAAATAATAAATAAAATAAATAAACTGTGGAGACCCAGATCTGGATCAGAATCTGTGGGTGAAGTGGGGCAGGGGGAGCATTAGGAAGGCTATCAAGATCAGCAACAGAGCACCTGTTTTAGAATAAGAATGACAGAACTAAGCTAATGTCTGTCTTGGCTCTAATGGGGACCAGTCCTATTTTATTTATTTATTTCTATATTGTTTAACAGCCAAAACCCTCTGGGTAGTTCAAATAGTGTTACATCCTTAGTCCTGAATTAGGAATTAAACCCAGGCAAAAGTAAGGCACTTCATAGTTAAGTTTCCAATGCTCACACTGAGGCATACTTGATTCAGGGCCAAACAATGCTTCGTGGTAACTGCATAGCACACAAGCTTCACGTTCCGATTTTAAATTCTACAAGCACAGCAAGGTACTTCGGGGAGCTGCACCACACAGAAAGGGGAACCTTATTGCTTCTCTCTCTGGCTTCACCCCCCCCCATCTGAAATGTACACCCCACCAGTTATCAGTCACTTGCACCTGTAGAAATTAAAATCAAAAGGTGAAGTTGCATGCTATGAGGCAAATGTAACATGTAGCTTGTCCCTCAACTCTTACATTGCAGAACATTCTAGAAGGGAAGGTCTAAAGGACAAGATAGGCTCCCTCTCAGATTACACTAAAGGATGGTTTCTCATTCTATAACAGGGGTAAGCAGTAGCTAGACTGGGATCTACTGGCAGATTTCTGAGTGATATGTAGTAAAAATAAAGATTGTTTTTAATTGGTGCATCTCGTGCTTTATTATGATGTTGCCTGGGGAGCGTGGGGCTGCCACCATCGGGGTGGTGATGGGCAATGGAGGTTATGGCATTGGGGGGATCTAACGGGTCAGCATAGAAGGAGCAGGGACAGATGGTTAACACCTGTCCCTCTTTCTGGTTATTCCCGCAGCCGGCGGGTTCCAGGTAGACTTGTCAACTGCCCTCCGGGCCTGTCGGTGCTGCTGCTTAATGCCAGGGCGGTCCAAAAAGGCAACACATGAGTGATTTGATCATGGATGAGAGGGCCAACCTGGTGTGCATCACAGATACCCGAGCGGGTGGGGGGGGATGTTTCCCTCTCACAATTGTGCCCGCCCAGGTACCTGGTCCAGCACCGACCACACCTGGAGGGGAGGGGAGGGGGGTCGCTCTGGTTTATCGAGCTTCTATTTCCCTTGTGGGGCTTCCTGTCCTCTCAAGGCCGGGGCTGGAGTGCCTCCACCTGGTGTTGGGCGACCGAGACAGATTGGGGATTCTGTTGGTGTACCGTGCACCCTTCTGCCCAACAGAATCCCTGCCTGAGCTGACGGAGACAGTCTCGGACTTGGTGTTGAAGACTCCCAGGATGTTGGTCCTGGGGGACTTCAATCTCCATGCCGAGACAGTTCTAACCGGGGCGGCTCAGGACTTCATGGCCTCCATGGTGGCCATGGGGCTGTCTCAACACGTCATTGGCCCGACCCATGAACGTGGACACACTCTGGACCTGGTTTTCTCAACGGGGCAGGAAGAGGGTGATCTGAGGGTGAGGAATTTAAGCTTGATGCCCTTGTCATGATCAGATCATTTCCTCATAAGGTTTGAGCTCGAGAGCGGCCTTTCTCTCTGCAAGGATGCGGACCCGATTGTATTGGTCCGCCCCCGGAGCCGGATGGATCCTGATGGATTCCTGGAAGCTCTGGGGGATTTTCCAGTTGACAAGGCTGGTGATCCTGTCGATGCCCTGGTTGAACTGTGGAATGAGGAGATAACCAGGGCTATTGACATGATCACTCCCAAGCATCCTCTCCCACCTGGCAGAGCCCATTCATCTCCTTGGTATACACCTGAATTACGGGTGATGAAGCAGGTTGGGAGACGTCTAGAGCGTAGGTGGAGAAGATCACGGGGTGATTCTGACCAAACACACTTAAGAGCCCATTATCGGGCCTATGCTGTGGCGGTGAGGATGGCGAAGAAGAAATTCTTATCCGTTTCCATTGCCTCCTCACAATGCCATCCAGTGGAGCTTTTTCGGGTGGTGTAGGGGCTGATACATCCGGGCCCGAAGAAAGATCTTGTGCCACCCTCGAAGGCCCACTATGACGACTTTGCCAAGCATTTCAGGGAGAAAATCGCTCAGATTCGCCACGAGCTTGACTCTGCTATTGAATCAGATTCTACTGGGGAGACGCCATTGACGCCATCGAGTCCACAATTAATGGATGCATTTCAGTTGTTGCGGCCTGATGATGTGGACAAAGTGCTTGGACAAGTATGTCCTACCACTTGCTTACTAGACCCATGTCCATCTTGGCTACTTAAGAAAGCCAAGGACGGGATTGGGACCTGGATCCTGGAGGTGGTCAACGCCTCTTTAAGAGACGGCCGGGTACCTGCCCCTTTAAAGGAAGCAGTAGTCCGGCCAGTCCTAAAGAAGGCATCCCTGGATCTAGAGCTGGCCGCCAATTATAGACCGGTGGCCAACATCCTGTTCCTGGGCAAGGTGCTAGAGCGGGTGGTGGCAGGACAACTCCAAGCACTCTTGGATGAAACTGATTATCTGGACCCATTTCAGTCCGGCTTCAGACCCGGCTATGGCACTGAATCTGCCTTGGTCGCCCTGTACGATGACCTGTGCAGGGAGACAGGGGGAGTGCCTCCCTGTTAGTTCTCCTGGACCTCTCAGCGGTGTTCGATACCATCGACCATGGTATCCTTCTGAATAGGCTAGCGGGATTGGGAGTTGGAGGTACCGCATGGCGGTGGTTCCACTCCTATCTCAACGGCTGATTTCAGAAGGTGGTGCTGGGGGACTATGGCTCTGCGCCATGGCAACTATGCCATGGAGTTCCGCAGGGGTCCATTTTGTCCCCTTTGCTATTTAACATCTACATGAAACCGCTGGGAGAGGTCATCAGGAGGTGTGGGCTGCGGAATCATCAGTATGTTGATGATACCCAGCTCTACCTCTCATTTTCCACCAATCCAGGTGAGGCAGTGGCTGTGCTGAACCGGTGCCTGGCCAAGGTAATGGGCTGGATGAGGGCCAATAAACTGAAGCTCAATCCAGACAAGACGGAGGTCCTGTTGGTGGATGACTCGGGCCTCGGGATGGGGGACTTGGACCTTATCCTAAATGGGGTTGTAATCCCTCTGAAGGACAGGGTTCGCAGCTTAGGAGTGCTCCTCAACCCTGAGCTGTCTCTAGAAGCTCAGGTGACGGCGGTGGCGAGGAGCGCCTTTCTTCAGCTTCGGCTGATACATCAGCTGCGTCCCTTCCTGGAGAACGACTGCCTGGCGACAGTGACACACGTGCTGGTAACTTCCCAATTAACGCGCTCTATGTGGGGCTACCCTTGAAGACGGTCCGGATACTTCAACTGGTGCAGAATAGAGCTGCCAGGTTGCTGACGGGGACTGGGTGTTGTTCTCATATAACCCCAGTTCTCCATCAGCTCCACTGGCTCCTGATTAAAGTTCGGGCCCAATTCAGCTTGGGACCTGGATATTTAAAGGAACGCTTGCACCCATATATGCCCTCCCACCCCTTGAGATCAGCAACGGATGCCCTTCTCCGGGAACCCTCTGTGAATGATATTCGGAGGGTGAGTACCCGGAGGGCTTTCTCTGCAGTGGCATCCCATCTATGGAATACACTCCCCAGAGAGGTCTGCCTGGCGCTGTCGTTATTTGTTTTTCGGTGCCAGGCTAAGACCTTTTTATTTAAAACTTATTTTAATTGTTAAATTATTGAATTAATTAGGATTTTAAAACTTTTAGCCAAGAATGCACCAGGGGTTTTTTAAAAAAATTTTATTGTTATATTATTATTATTTATGTACGTTTTTAAGTATTCTTTGAGAGCCGCCCCGAGGCTTTGTTGCGATGGGGGCATCATAGAAATGTTTTAAATAAATAAATAAACTGACAAGTATTTCCAATTTCCAAAAGTGTAACAATGAGAATAGCAAAATGAGTTTAGTCCCTCCACTTCACATGCCCTACTCTGTAATGATGAAATGAACAGAACTTTGGATAATCAATAAGGTTCTCTGTGTGGAACAACTACAACCATGTTCAGTCCTAATACTCAAAACATTCTTTAATTCTAAATGTATGCCTTTCATACCAGGCTCAGATTATGGATCACAGGATTCCATAAAACAAACTTGATTTGGCAAGCCTTACCACTTTTTGGGGGGAGGCAATCATCTGAAGCTTTTAGCATGCTTATCGAGAGCAAGGCCCTAATTTGATTTTAGTTCATAAAATTAAAACTGCTTTGTTGAAGTTGATGCTTGGTTCATCACCAGGATTACATTACCTTGGTTCTCCCTCTTGTTCAGGCACTTCCTCCTCCTCTTCTTCACTTCCACTGTACTCATATTCTGTTTCATCTGTTCAGAGTATGAGAAGACAACACTTGTTTATTTATTGCTGTATCACTCAAAAATCCAAAGCTATTTGATCAGTAGCACAAAGACCACGAAGAAGAACTTCAGGATTTGTGCAGCAGAATAATTTGCTGCTGTGTGTCCAACATCTGTTGCTCATATGAGGAGTATGAAATGGGTATGCATCAAACCCAATGTATTAAAATCAGAATTTCAACGCAAAAATATAGCCAAATATAGCCAAAAATATAGCCACACAATATTACCAACTAGCTTTTTCCCCTTAGCCCATTCTAAAAAGAATTCTTGATCCTCTCTCAAGGATTACCATTTCAGTCCTCACGACAGGTCAAAGAAAAATATTTGGTTTGGGATCTAAAGTGTTATTTCAGGTGCACCCAGTTCATATTTTGACTTTCTGCATCTAAACAGCAGGCTGCCGTGCCATATCAGAAGCAGCTTTTGCAGTTCCTTTCCATTGCAAAAGTAGTCGCCATATGGTGTGTGGAAAACCTACTGCTGCTTGAGAAACAAGTTCAAAGTGTATTGGACATGCAGAGCTAGTTGCATGTTCTTTGGATTTTGATCCAACTTTTGAAATTCTTTCAGTACTAAGATTTAACAGTACCGAATTTTAAGCTTTTTTAAATGTATGTGCTCATTTTGTATAGTGAGAAATTGCAAGGTATAAATCAAATGCAATACCGAGTGTTAGCAGACTGTATCATCACAAAATAGCACATTCCTTAGAAGGTGTGATACAAAATAAAATCCTTCCAATGCAATTGAGGCTGATGACTAAGCAGCACATCTGTACTGAAATAAGACTGAAGCCACGAATCTGTAAATCATATAGAAATCATTTATGTCACACACATCCACTCTGCTCTGAATGCCAGCTGACTTCGGCTGTGCAGATTTCAGCTCACATCATCATGCACAGGACAAGAGTTGTTGGCTTGCTGCACAACTTCCATCACAGCAAAACCACTAAGACCAAACTAATACATGTAAACAGAACTCTCCCCTTTAGCTTTTCCTTCTACTCCCCTTCCCTTGTGTGCTTTGTTTTAAATCAGGGTGGGCAGAAGGTAGATTTCCAGATGTTTTGTACTTCATTTCCTAGGATCCTGCTAGCATGGCCAATGATTAAGAATGCCGGAAGTTGAAATCCAAAACAGTCAGAGTTCTATTCTCTGCCCATCTCAATTATGTACAACAGCTGGTAAATATAGGCACTCAGAAGCCAACAATATTTACACAGAGAGACAGGCAGAAATGCGGCTGCAGTTTCAAAGTGATCACATACCTTTCTCTCCTCTCTTTTTCCTGGTTCTGTCTATATGATCTTTAAGCTGGATTCTGACTTGCCTTTCATTTGGCTGATCACGAATAAATGGATGTTTTAAAAGCTGCTCGGTAGAAGGTCGTTGCATATAGTTCTTCACTAAACAGCCCTCTATAAAACTAAAGAACTTTTTTGACCTATGCACAAATAAATCAGACACTGAAGTCACTAGGATCCTAAAAATTAGTAGGACCAAATGCTAACAAACAAACATGACAGACTCACAAAATGCAACAGTAAATGTTGGGATCATAAATTCACAAACTGTAGCAAAGTATATTAGTCCATACCTGGATACGTGAAGAAACAGTAAGAATTTGATAGTAATAAGCAAAACAAAAATCATTTTTTGGCTCAACTTTAAATCCTAACATCAGTACTACATGAAATTAGAGAGTAGCACTTCTTACAATAGATGCTAAAGAAAGCAAGAAGGGCCAGGCTCAAATGGAACTCATTTTTGTGAAGAAATATGCTTAACATTACAATGAGCTTCCACTTGAGCTAACCAATTAGTATTACTCAGTGAAATCTTTTCACGTCTTTAAAGGAATAACACTAATTACATATATAAATTTATGAGAAAAAATCAACCATCAGTGCAGAAAGCACACATTTTGTTTCTGAATAAAACAAAAATCATCTTGATAATCTCAGTGGCTGTCAAACAATACATAAAAATGTATTAAGGCCAATGTGGGTAATACAAATTGCAGAGGAAGAAGTGACTCTACTACAATCAAAGCAATTTTCCTCCTGGGTCTGTCTGAAAAGCAAGACAGTCCCGTTAACTCCCTAGAGAAATTTCTTATGTTAGTTTTATATACAATGAAGCTATTATTAAGTGACTTATTATACAATGAATAAGGAGCAATACTTGGAGGAATATCATCCAAGTCAAAACGACAACAAACTATATTTTCTTAATTACACTAAGAATAGAAAATTTGTCTGTAAAGGACAGAATGTCAGGAATTCTCAAACAATTTATATCCACTATGTGAAATTTAGTACCTTCAGAAGCTTTGGAAATAATAAATAACTGTTCACAGTTTTTATATATTAATGTACACATGAAATGCATAGCTGCTTTTTATGATCAGTTGATCAAACTTCCTATGGTTAATTATTATGTGTTGTGAACAGGTAGGAGCCAGATAACTTTGCTAAACAAGACAGAAATGTTCCTGGGTTGTTCCCTGTGACATCCAGCCCCAGAGTTTTTGCCCATGGTTTGCACTTGAGTTTTTGCTGGGTTTTTTCCTCCGACAACCCAGAGTTCCAGATTCAGACAAAGTGCAAAATGACAGATAGGAGCCAGTGCATTTGCTTGCACTGACAACCAATGGTGAATAAATCACTATATTATTGCCCCACATCCCCAAGGGAGATGTAAAAGAAGAAGAAAAGTCCATTGACACCAATTTATTATCATTATTTATCTTCTGGGAGGACAGGGGGTTTCAGGTAACACATAGATGGAAGGTAATTAATGTTCCATGTACCCACAGCCAAATTGGGTTGTTGAGTGTGAACTGGAATATTTACACTATAAACACTGAGTTTAATAAAGAAAAGGACTTAACTGTGGCAAATCCAATATTCAATTATCATACATTTTTCATTTCAACACTCCAAACATGCAGATAGTATTTCAGTATGGTACACATTATCAATGAACCATTATTTATATTAGTATGGAAGACTTTCGGTTCAGCTTAAAAATGGAGCTCTGTATAAACACATTTTCTTAGTGAAAATTAAGCATAAAAATATCTGTCCTTAAACATATTCTAGTTGAGCAAAAGATTTTATCTCAGTTGCTGAGAAGGGCAACCAAACTACAGTGAATGCCTGCATGAATTTTAACACAAACTCTCAATACAAAACTTAGCACTCATTGGCATTGTCCCACTTTCTTGCTATATCTTATGTCAACAATTAAGAAGTGTGTGGGGGATAAAAATAACGAAGTTTTACTTTCAGCGGCTGCACAGTTTCTTAGCTTAATAGGATGCTGCTTTGTCAAAAACAATGCCTCTTTTGTCCTATGTTTCAGAGTCTTTAGCCCATAATAAAACTAATACTGTATTTTTCTGCGCATAAGATGCTACTTTTTCTTAAAAACATTTACTTAAAAATATAGGTGCGTCTTTTCCCCGGGGTGGGGGGGAGGATGGTGCACGGGGGGCGGCAAAGCGGTGCGCATGGGTGGCAGCAGCTTGCTTGCTGGAGATGGGTAGGAAAAGTGGGGGACGTCCTATACATGGGAGCGTCTTATATACGGAAAAATATGGTAAGTCTTGTGTAAAAACGAGTAGAACTAAGAAGCTCTAAATGCACATCTCATTTTAGGCTTAGATTCAGTGGTACGGAAGACTGATTTCACCCAGCGGAAAATGATTTTTCAGGTCTGTGGAAATAAGTCAAACTGTTCTGTGAAAAAGAAAATGCAGTGTCATAACAACAACTGAGCTAAAGGGAAAACGAACAGAAGTAGCATCCACATACCATTTCTTGGATTTTAGTCTTGGAGGAGGGTTTCTGGGGATAAGGAACAGGGCTCTCATTGGATGCATGTCACAGAGTGCTAGAAATAATAATTAAAATTATATAAGTGTTACTCATTTTATCATTATTCCTGAAAGAATTTCTACACCTATTTTGTTATTCCAAATGACTAATGGCAAGACTATGAATGACTACAAAGACCATTTGAAAATGGCAACTATTAATTTGAGAATGAATTGAATCCCCCCCCCACACAACATGACCCCTAAGAGTTCATTTGTTTCATAAAATGCCAGATCAGAGAAGTTGCCATTTCACATAACCTACAGAAATTGGAGATGGAAAAAGATTTAAGGCCCATTTCCTTGGCAAGATTGTCATTACAGATTGTCCTTTTCAGTATTGCCTTGTAACATTCTGCATGCATATGCTACAGCATATCTGTTCCAAGATCAAATGTCTCTCTCATCAGAAAGTTTATATGGATTAAGTAATCCTGTACTAAAAAGTTTCGCCTGTTGCTTTGTTTCTTCCACCTTTTCGAAATCACAATCACTGCAAAGCTTTTGGCACAATAATCTGGTGAGCAGTAGCATTGTTATTTATGGCTTTTTTATTTTTGCTGCTAGAGGGAATGGGTCAGGAACCCGAAAGAATAGACATTAATCATCGTTTTTCAGAAATCTCAAGAGTAAGTTTAGATTACAAGAAGCATGCCAAAATATAGGTTTCAAACAAAAATCAGTCCAATAGAAAAGGGATACATATCACTTACGAGGAGCACCTTCTGCCATCTCTATGGCTGTAATGCCGCAGGACCAAAGGTCACTCTACAAAGAGAGACCATATGTTAGCAAACACATTATCCATTTTCCTTCACTGTTACAATTTCTGATATATTACATATGGAAGATGAGAACTGCATCAACACAGTCTTTTTAAAATTGCTTAATTTATTTAGAACTTGCCATGGGAGCACACTATATAGCTATGCACTTACATTAAAAAAATATCCTGACTTTCAAAGAACTTAAACTTGGCATATACTTAACTTCTCTGCAGTCTTGACTATTTCAGTCTAAGTTTCTATTTTATTATTTACATACACATTTCCCCCACAGTCACAACTCCTAGGAAAGAAATCTTCCTCTGCCCCTTACCCACCCATGGCTGTAACAGGAATGCACATTTTTATGTTTGTCAAAAGCCTTTAGCTAGAAACTTTCCCTACTTCATGAAGTTCTAAATATGTAATTATTTAGAAACCAAAAATAAACTGATTGCCATTGACACCAAGAGGAAAGCAAAGTCTGAGCAAACAAGTCTGTTGAGAGATGATGCCTTCTAAGGTACATATTTAACAAAGCAGAGTCAGAAGCATGACACCAGAAAGTTCATTGTCCTTTGCCAGTATCTTGCTAAAATAAACATAATGATTTTTTGATTACAGGATGCAAGAACGTGGAGGTGTTGCTGTTCATCAATGGACCAGCTGTCCAAAGCTCCAGTCCTTACGATGCCAGCAATATTCGTGAATGTTAACGTCTATAAAAAGAGATGTCTGACAGATAAGAGACAATCCAACACTCTGTTGTTCCTAGCAATGGCAATTATATCTCTGAGTAATAACAGTTAGGAGATAACTTCTGGGAAAGACAAACTTCAGTGAACAGAAGGGAAGTATTTGATAACAAGTATTGATAACATGACAGAGGAGATATCGTTTTTCTCCGTAGTGCTACCACACAACTGCAAACTCATAGTGCAGACTAAGCCTCAATTCATCTGCTTCAGCAAAAACAAATTACTTCTGAAAGTTAAATTTTTACTTTTCCATAAGACCTAATACAAGGGAAAAAGTATTGATCTAATCAAGTGCATGAATTTCACAAGGGATTTTTGTGACCTGCTTCACACGGCACAACAACTCATCATGGATAGCAAGCCATGATGGAGTGTCATATCATCCAATCCAGGCTTCTTTCCTTAGGGTGGCTCCAACAAGCTACCTTAAGAATCCATGGACTGTAGAAGGCTTGGTATGGTACAATCTGAGAATGTATGTCATCCAAATTCAGGCAAGTGTCCTCACCTTGGGTTGTGGGCAGCAGAGGACAAGAACAACCCTTGACAAGAACAGCCAAAAACCCCCAAACCACCTTGCTGCTCCTGCCAAGCCAGAGTTTGGCCTAGCCACTGCACCAGTGCCCAGGTGACATGGTGGAGCAACTGCTATTCTCTTGCTCCCAGCCCTGCTCTGATGGGCAGCTCTTCCCCTTTTCTTCAGGAACTGATTTCTGTGCTACCTGTTTTGACAACCACTGACATGCCCTCTAATGTTTCAGCAGCATGCTGGAACGATTGTAAGAGGCTTGACTGAACCTTTAAAAAAGAAAAAAGAAAACTGTGACTGAAATAGGTACACATAATCACATTGATTTGTGTATGTCCTTGTCTAAACCTCCTAGCCCTTTAGCCTTATCTAAAAAGCTCATTTCAAAGGAGACCTTAATTTTTGAAAGCAGTCAGTACTCCCAACTGCAGTCAAAGGGGCGGACAATGCTTCTACCCAAGCACCTAGGATCTCCAGGAGAAGGATAAAGGGTGGAAAGGTTGGAAGCACTGAGACCTAATCAGGGAAACTCAAAAAGCCCTAAGGAGTCCAATTGAAAGGGTGGATAAATCCCTCCATTCTCTTTTCATAAGCAAAAACAAGTTGTCTCTTTGCCTAACAGAAAACAATTTTAAAATACTAAAACTATTAGGCTACAACTAGGGTACAAAGAAATGGGAAAACACTGAAAGTTCCTCAGGGTCCAGCTTGAGCTCTTCAGAGGGACTGTCTGGGATTGGGAAACTGGAGATCACAAAAGATAATCCCCCCTCCATGGTAAAAGGTGGGAGGAGGGGGAGTCGCAGGGAGCCAAAAGGGCTCCTGTTTGCAGTAAGGAGAGTGGCTTGATCTACAAGGTCCTTGGGATGCCAGCAGCTGAGATAAGGAAAAGGGGATGATGACAATCCATAGTAAACCCAATAGTCAGGTGCTCCACAGAATAACCACTGCCCTATGGCCATTGCAGGGGGGGGGGGCAGCAACCAATGACAGACTCTGCACCTTAAGAATGGAAAATTATCACAGCAACCACATCACAGTTCTGCCATAATCATAAAGACAGCTGTTTCAGTGCAAATGCAAACTGAATTTGCATTTGCACTGATGTGATCTGCCATGTCAGTGGGCCAAACAGAGAAATACTGCTTCGTTTTCACAATAAACCTATCTTTATCTGCCCCCAGTACGGTGGTCCCAAATTTTTGCCCAAGATTGCAGCTATTCTATCAGGGCAGAGACAATAGGTTAATGCTTCAATCTAACCCTGGCCTTCCACAGCAAGAACACATTACATGTTGGATGAGTCTTGGATAAAACTCAAGTCACACCATAGTTGTACAGTTTCTCCGCATTTGAACTGAATTGCCAAGTTAGAACAAAGCTCCGGGAATGAAAGTCAATTGCTCTTTACACAACCTAGAAAGAAGGAGGAATGCCAAGTCCCATCCATTCCTAGATGTCCAGAAAATGCAAGGCATGAGACAAGGACCATGCACATGGAAAGGCTGCACATCAGGGAGACGTTTTCTTTAGACAATTACTATGCTACTGAAAATAGAATTGCCAGGTTCATACTTGCTTTCTACAAATCCTTTGTACAACCAGTCTTAGAATGCGGTGTGCAGTTACAGTTGCTGCATCTAGAAAGGGGTACTGTAGAGTTGGGAAAAGTGCAGAGTAGGGCAACTAACATGATCAAGGGGCTGAAGCAACTCCCTTATGAAGAAAGGTTACCATCTGGGAGCGTTTAGCATTGAAAAAAGGCAAGTAAGGGGGGAGACATACTAGAGCTGTTCAAAATTATCCCCGGTGTGGAGAAGGTCCATGAAGCTGATTAGTGTGAGATTTGGCTCAAATAAAAGTACTTCTTCACATCACAGATAGTCGTGATGGCCACCAATGTGGATGGCTTCAAAAGGGGAATGGAACAATTTATGGAGGAGCTGTCTCTCCATGGCTACAACCTTGCTTGCTATGTGTTACCTCTCTTATCAGAGGCAGCATGCTGTCATATACAGTTACTGAGGTACTTGGGCAGGTGGAACTCTTGTCCCCATACTTCTTGAGGGACCTTGTGGAGAGCTGAGTTGCCACTGTGTAAATGGAGTGCTGGACTGGAGAGATAAGTGGTTTGATCCAGCATGGATTTTCCTGCCTCAAGATGATAGCTCTGCGATTTTCCCCTGCTGTTCTTCTTCTGGTCTCGGTTTACTTTAGGCTGTTGCAGTATAACACATGGTATAGTCTGTTCTGAATTGTAGCACTTACACCAACAAATAGGGGGAAGGATATGTTTGGATGCACACCATGAGGCAGGAAAATCGCAGAGCTATCATCTTGTTCTGCCCTGCTCTACAATTCAATTTGCTTAATCCTTCAAGAAGCCTCCTTTCCACTCCCACATCACTTTATCATGTGTTTGCTTCTTTATAAAGGAACCATTCACATATGAAAGGATCATTTTTCTTTCCAAATCTGTTTTTTTCTGATGTTGCCTTTCTCCCCCTGCTCTCTCTCACACATGCAGGCATGCATATATATGCTCAAAAATTAGACATACTGAAAGAAAATAGTATCTAGCCTGATGCAAGATCTAATTCTCGAAGGCAGTAAGGGATTTCACTTCCATCAATAAAGTCTGACTCTGTTTACACTAATGCTTTCCTTCTAACATCCAAGATTTTAAATATTTTATTCTTCCTTGTTCATAGGGTTGCCTAAAAACATGCTAAAAGGTGCTTAGGGATTTCCAGAAAGCTTTTTTAAAAAGAAACCTAACTTTAAAGAATGGGGGGGGGAGGGATTCCAACAACAACAAGATCATTTACAGTGATAGCAAGTTTGATGTTTGCTACTGCTGCTGTTGCTGCATGTGCAAACTCAAACAAGTGTATTGTCATCAACTCCTACTAAGAATGGTTCCAGATGACCATCTAAACTATGTATAGAGTAAATGCAAATAAGGCACAATGAAGTTCAGGATTCCCTCTCCTCTTTCTCCATGCACAAAGGAAGAAAGCTTCCTATTTCACTTTACAACAAAACAAAGTTTCATGTTACAGCTGAACACAAGGAACTGTGCTCCTTTCTGCAGTTAGTTTTAAAAAATCGGGGTCTGAAGCCACAGATTCAACACAAAGCTGTGGTTTGTGAAGTCCAAGCAGATTCACCTATTATGCAGGGGAAAGAGGAAACGGCTGTGCAAAAGACAGAGTCTCTTTATGGCTCATTCCTGATCACCTCAATCATGGTTCCTGCTTCACATGATCCGCTGCAACAAGCCCATGCCTGTAATAAGTTCTTTTGCCTAAGACATGACATAGTGCTTTCCTAGAGTAAATCCATTTAAGGACATCTATGCACATTAATTTTTAAGGTTATAATGCACTTGCTTGCTGTTTTCCTTAATTTGTTTAGAAAAAGGGGGAAAACGTTTACAGAGCATTAATGATAAGAAACTGTGCACACAACTCATAACCAGAAGAACAGTAAATACATTTTAACAGTCACATTAATATTTCTCTTACTCTGTAGTCATATGTAGCATCTGGATTTTCATCACAGGCAATAACCTCTGGCGCCATCCAATAAGGTGTTCCAATGAAAGTATTTCTTCTACCAACTGTCCTGTCCAGCTGAGCACTTACTCCAAAATCCACTATATTAAGAATAGGAAAAACAATCAAAACACACTGAAATTATTTCTCCGAAATCACTGCAAAGTAAACAGATACGCAGACAATGTGATTCACATGCTGAGACAGATGGAGCCTTCAAGCCCCATTAATAATGCAGTCAGCATCACTGTACATCATAATACTTATTTAATTAATTAATTCATGTTTATGCCGCCAAATATCCGAGGAGTACTCTCACCCATTTACCACCAAGAAATTTCCTATTAAAATAAAGCATCTTAATCAATGAATGCCTGCAAAGGACGCTGTTCACCAAGGCAACTTCTTATCTAGTTGCATACACAATTCCTAGCATTTTCGGTTTTTAAGGAGGAATGTGATTCACATTCTCTTTTCTGAGATTCAGAGAACATAGTGCAAGTTCTTTTCAAGAGTATAAACGTGCCTTGTAGAACCAACACACACATCCTTTCTATGCATTAAAGGGAACTAAACAGAGACTGAGTAGGATCAAAATACAAATGTCATTCTGAAACAGCCCAGGGTCCTTCAATGAAAGAAGGAAAAATTAACTATTTTGTTATGGCATAAAGACTATTGCATGTGGGCCCATCTTTTGTAGACCTGACACCAAAATAGGTTGAAACTAGATGCTAGAATTTCTTTCTTGGGAATAATCACCTACTGCCATCTAGATAGCAGGCGAACTCCACCTCGTTTCCCCAGGCTTCTCACACTATATAACAGTAATATTTTGCTAGTTTATTGTTGCTTTTATAGCCTCCTTGAAATCTGTATATCTCACTACCAGCTAGCAACACTTTTCAGTTTCCTAGTTATGTTTCCTCTGCAGATAACTAACACTACATCATGCTGTCACTTGTATGAAAGAACAGCAGCAGAGACCAAACTATGAAGAAAGTGAATACAGTAGACTAATAAACTTACCCAGTTTCACCTCTGCATTTTCTGTTAACAATACATTCTGCCCTTTAATATCCCGATGAATTACATGATGGGCATGAAGATGAGCCAATCCCTGTATTTTTTTAAAAAAGCAGATCAGAGTCTTTTTCCTTCTTTGTCTTAGCAACTACACAGAGTTCATTACTATATTCTATGCCAGTGCACCCATTAAACAACTCCATACTCCCATCACCTTAGGAATTCTTTTTTGTCCAATATAATTTGCCTGTAGATGGTTTCATAACATGTCTCCCACTCAGATATTGCTTGAGGAAAGTTACAAAGGAATATGCACACATTCTGGCATTATTATACTGGCAAAATGCAAGGGCTATGCTTCACAGGCTCCTTTCAGTACAAATAGCATTTCTGAAACAACTCTGATGAGAACTCCTCTTATAAGAACTACACTGTAATACAAAAGTGAACCAACTCCACTGCAGAAGTGATTAAGAAAGTCCTGGAAAGGTTTTTTTTAAAAGGTAAAGTACTTTTGCCAGGAGAAGGGAATTCTTCTTAGTTCAAGGCTAAAAAGCCAAGAAATATTCTTTTTAGGAAAGGGATAGTTGAGAAGATAGGTGACAGAAAGAATAATTACAAGATTTTGTTTACAGCTTGTACATAGTAATACTCCTCACTATTTGCCAGAAATTTCCAGAGGTCAATACAGATTACATGCTACCATATTAAATTCCAGTTGTACATTCAAATTCTAGACACAGGGTTTTCATTTAACTGGCACTGTAATGTAGATCAGCAAATATAACACGCCATTCAATACAGATGATGACGTCAAACATTAGAAGATGTTTGTGGGGCATGGGGAGATACCTGAACAGGAAGTGCAAGACATGCCTGCTTCCTGTTCTCCGAAGTTCTTTGCAATGCCTAAAGTGTAACTCAACTATTTCAATGTGCAAAGGAATGCATATGTTGGCTTGCCATTGAAAGCTTTACTTTTTACTGTGTAGAATGCAACAATATGGCAGGCAGATGATACAGAAGAGATCTATAAGTTTCAAATATTAGTAAAAACAGGAAGTATGAATTATATCTGCTACTGTCCTCAGTATTAGGCAACATGTAAAGCTGGTTGAAGGAATACATCCACAGCAGCTATAAAACTGAATGCGTATTTTGATTTTGTCAAATTATTCAGGCTTGAAAATAGTGATTTTCCTACTTTCCTCAGGTAAGTGAAAATTGCCTGAAGGCAACTTGGCAGCAATATTTTCATAAAGGAGGTCCATTTTTTTCTCGAGGTATCAAGGACCAAATATGAATGAATAGTTCAAAATGGAGACTAATAACTTTAGCAAGTTTGTAAAGTTGGAATGAATCTTGTACAGAAGGTTTCATTTGTTAGTCTGTCCATATTGCATGTATAATCACTGGGGAGCAGTCCATCATTTTTTCTCAAAATGACATCAGAATGACACGGGATTACTCTCAATGGTGGTACCTTAAACCCACTTCCCCTATGATCATTATGCGACCATCACAATTTTTTTTGCAGTAAGCAAAATAACTTGAAACAAATATTTGGAGCTTACTAATATAAAATGCACAAAGTATATTTGGCTGTGTTCTGTTTCGCACAGTTGGGAGTCACTATTTCAAATACACCCTATGGTTTGTTAACAGGGGCATGTGCATTCCTGTCTGTATATGCCCCTGCCAAGAAACTATGGGATGCCCAGTCAAAAATAAGCCTTTTTTTTTTTTAAACAATTCAGATCTGTCCGCAAACTGTCAAAACTCCTGCTCCTTTGAAACGGGGTAGTTCATGCTTCTTCTTTGTTGCCAAGCATCTAGATCCCCACAAACAAGCAGAAAGTGACAGCACCCTTAGATTAGGGCAACTGCCTTGCCCCCTCCCCACACACACGCACGTGTGCATGCGCACACACTCCAAGGAGCTTGCCATGAATGGGTTGTAAATCTCATCATCGCATTTTTGCAAACAAAGATCACTCCTGCCTCACTTCAACTTAACAGCTTGCTCTTTGACAGCTGCCAAGCCAAACCACAGGGAGAAAAAGCATATTTGGAGCCTCCCTTGGACAATGTCCAGTGTTGGTACTTGCTGAACTTTGGCAGCAGGTACCTGCCTGGGCAATGCCCACATGAAGCAGCCCTTTTTCAGACATAGAGAAGCGCACACCCCCATATTTGCAGAAATCCAAAAATATGGGTTTTTTAAATGTGCACAAATATGTATGCACATTAGGGTATGTGAAAAAAGCCAGTAAGAATGGGTTTGCAACCATGGACAGTCCCTCCCTCCAAGATGCTGTTTCAGTACTTTGAAAAGGCTGTCAAAATGGAGGTTGCAAATGCCAGCCGTGAAATCTAACGTGAGAAAAGGAAAAGGGCAAACGAACACAGGGAGTTGAAAATGGCTCTCATTCATGGGGGCAGAACAGCATCATTCAAGGCCTGGTGGGGAGGATGGCAGTGGCCCGGATAAACTGAGGAATAGCAGCAAGAGACCTTTGCCCTTGCTGAGTGCTCCAGTGGCTACTGGGTGTATCCATGGCAGGAATGGTTCTCCAGCTTTGGACAAAAAGGAAACCTACTATAATTCTCAGGATGGTCTGTTTGGGAAAAAAAAACCCCACCATTGCCAGCACCATCTACCGTGAGTAAAATGCTAGACAAAGTGACAACCAACCATGGCTCGGTGCCCACACTGGGTTATCATGTTGTGAGAACCAGGTCATTGCTGTTTACTAGCAAACCCAAAATTAATTAGGAGACCCGATGACATTAAACACACAGTAAGATTAGGACAAGGCAAGATGCTGCTGCTTTATATGCTGCATACGCTTGGAATTTGCTGCCATGGAAGAAGTGGCGGCCAATAGAAATGGACAGGATGCTTAAAAGGGCGGGCCCTATCTTGAGGTGGGATGAATCCTGTTCTCAGTGTGGTAGAGTGAGAGCAATCAAGAATTGATGCATGTGCTGTGCAGGAAAATAAGCTTGTGTGCCTTAATTTGCTTCCCAGATCATAGGAATTGGTCCATGTCTAGAGCAGCCCTGTGGAGTGTATGAACAAAATATTACCCTGAGTGTCATTTTTATGCAGAATACACTTCTTGCCCTTTATTATGCATTGCAAATTGCAGAGTTTAGATAAAAGTTTAAGGAACCCCAACTGTACATTTTGACTGTGTTTTAACCATCTGCGTCTGAAAATTCTCCATTCTTGATGGCATTCTGACTGCTTGCATAGTTCCATGGGCATCTTTTCCATTACAAGACAAACATCAAATCATATAACTTATACTAACTTCTAATGCACAAAGCTTGTTTAAAAATTATCTTTTGCCAGTTGGCTTAAGTATGTTTTAAAAAAAGATTCAATGAGAGAACTGCAGTTCGTTGCCTTCCCATGTCACAAGCTTAATGCTATGGACTTCAATGCCACAGTCTACTAGAAGTTAATGCAGAGCTCAAAACTGATATGCATAACTAAAAATACACCAAAGGGCTTTCATTTTGCTTACCCTGAGGATCTCTCTGGAGATGTATGCTATCCAGTCCTCCTTCAAAGTATTTCCCTTCGTATTCTTCACAAGATCTGTAATAGAGCCTGCACCACAGAACTCCATGACAAGCTGCAAAAGCCAGAATGGGGGGAAAAAAGAGTCTCAAAATATCTAAGCTCCTGTATGCTACCAAGTATTGCACTGCAGCAACTCTTACTGGAATATTAAAGAGAAAGATCACCCAAGGACAAATAAACATTTCAGTGGAGCAGTTCATAATCCAAATCCCTTTAACAGCTGTAAAGTTACATTTCACATTGATCCATTAACTTTCAGAGAAAAAGATCTGCACATCCATTGTATAACTGCTTTTGCACATAAGATAAGCCAGAATTCTGGAGAATAATAACTTAGTCTTCATTAGCAGAGTGCAGACAGCCTGCCTAGCTCATCATCCTACTAGTGGGAATGACTAAATAACCAGCCAGGAAGCGGTCTGGGTTCCTGGTTGTCATTCTGCTAACCAGCCTGAACCTGACACCAGCATTTCCCATTCCTGGTTTCAGGAGAATGATACAATGCATCGGGGCATGGCTAACATACAATATATGTACAATAGCGACAGGTGACTACTAGTAAAAGTTCTAGACTAAGGGCTGTTGGCATGATTCAACACAGAAAATCTTGCTGCCACTTATTTTTCTTCCACTGAAGCTGTCTGCAACTTAGAATGCTAGAGCTAGGTTTTCAAAATTTGAGAGCCAAGAAATTCACGTACCCCTCCCCAAGAATTAAAACGAGATGTTTTCTTCATTTTTGCACCTTTACTCTATAATCCACTTACTTGGGAGTAAACTCCACTGAACACAATGAAACTAGCAAAGGCACATGAACACAAAGGTGAACTGTAAAGTGTTCACTTTTTACAATGTGCACGAATAAAACAAAAATTTCGTTCTTAAAACAATACTCCCTTTGGGCTTCTATAGGAGTCACAGAAAAGTGGTTCGTAAAGAGATGCAATGGGCAACTTACTACAGTAGGAAATTATTCCATTATTTTCTACCTCACATTTATTTACCCAGATTCCTTCAAATTGTAATGGGAGGTGGGGAGAGAATATTGGTTAAGAATGTGCTTGCTTACCCACAGTTGGTCATCATGACCTGGAGGACTTTTCTTAATGAAAGCACCATAGTAAGTTGCAATATTTCTATGATGGGAATATTTCTTCAGCATGTTTATTTCCAGTTTGATTTCTTCTTCTTCATCCTTTGAAGATAAAAATATGAATGTACATAGTATCGTATTTGTACTTATTCTAGTCTGAGCTCTCTGAAAGATGACGTGTGTTACTATGCTTAGCAACATACTTGTGTCTGTTTTTTATTTATGCAAGCTTGATATGATCAGTTGCATGATATAAAATTGTTCAGAAAAAGGAAGCTTTCATTTTGCCAGATGTGGAAAGTAAACAGGAAACCTGAAGGACAACTGTACGGATGGATGAAATAGTTAGCAATAAAGATGTATTTATTCAGAAAGAAATGCACTCAGACACTTGAATCTAGTAATTTTTGCTCCAACTTCTCAACCTAAATTTTTATCACAGAGATTTATTTTGTAATCCTAGATTTGCAATGAATACTTTAAAAAACCCCAAAAAATCAAAATTCAGTCCTGTACATTCTATATACTCTGTATTCTAATTTTGAACTTATTTCACTTCATGTTGCAATTGCTTCATAACCAACTAGTCTGAATAAATACTGGGTCAGATCCTGTTGTCCTAAGAGTGAAAGGGATCTTCACAGAATCATCAGATACAGCAGGGATTCCTGCTCTGCTAATGAGGTGCTTCCACAAACAGGATGAGGGGGACCATTTTTGCTGATTCTCTTCCCCTGAAGCTGCCGGTGCCATCTCAACCCTCTGGAACCAATTTCCAGGGAGAGATATGCATGGGAATCGGCAAAAATTATGCCCATTGTGTCCTGGTTACCAGTCTATATTACTTGAGCTCAGGCTACATGAAAGACTGTCTTCTCTTAATATGACCCTGTCTGCCTAAGTTTTAAAATATCAGTGAAAGCCCTTCTCTCACTACCGCCACTATCAGGAGGATGTTTGGTGAAGACTTCTTGATGAACGCTCACATACTACAGAATTTGATTCTGAAGAACATCAGGATGAATCCCTCTCTCCTGCCATTTCAACAAGCAAGGAAAGGCAGCCCTTTGCCCTTAAGCCCATCTGTTTGGTTAGGTGCCGATTTTGGTTTTTATTGTGCTGTTTTGCTTGGCTTTGAATTGTGCTTGTAATGCATTCCTTCTACAATTGTTTCAATTTCAAACATTGGCGTTCATTACTGCTAGCTGCTTTTAAGTGCCATTTTCAGGTAGAATGAAGGGTATCAAGTAAATAAATATAAATTCTATGTCCATCAAATAGGTCTTGCCCAAAACAGACATACACAAAAGCACCCATCAAGACTGTATCTGCTGCAATGACATCTGGTGGCTAACATACACTATTGCACTTTAATCTTAATATTATAAAATAAAACTATACAGTGATCTGTGAACATCTCATCTTCCCTATCTACTTTTGCCCTCTTCCTCATATAGGATGCCATACGGAGAACAAAGTTCTTGCTTTCTCCTCAATTGTTCACACTGTGCAGAGCAGTTCTCTAACTCCCAGCTGCCACTAAACTTAAGGGACAGGCAGATGCAATTATTCATGAACCAGATACAATAGGAGCAAAACACAATGTAGGAACTTGAGGAAAACAGGAAGAGATCTTTCAAACAAGATAACATGGGAGATCTCAATTCATTTAGGAAAGCTCCGGCTCTAAGCTGCAAAATAGCCTTCCTAAACCTGGTGCCTTCTGGGTGATTTTAGACTACAAATCCAATCAGCCAACATGGTGAATGGTCAGGGATGGTGGGAACTGTAGTCTACAATTTCAAGAGAACACCAAGTTGAAGAAGGCTGCCAGAAAGTTTTTTCACCAGCAGAATCTAAGAGTTAGCATTTGAGGAAGTGTTATTACTATTACCTCAGCAGATACCGACAAAGAAGTTATATGGAAAATTTTAGCATAAACACGATTGTGGTTAGCATGACTATCAAACTGAACTGTTCATTCTTTTTGTATATTATGGGCATACAACAATAAAAGAAAATGCCATGGATCTATTTTTTCCATTGAACGGTTCACTGAAGGACCAGTATGCATAGCCCATATGCATTTAGCCAATGTTTTCAGTACATCTGGATCATGCATATAGGTGGAGGTTGCTTCATTGTAGAAACTTCTCAACCTCCCATACTACAGCTATAACATTAGAAAATGTGGTGGTCTACAGAGACCAAGCAAGTTAGCACAGGGTCTAGAACATAAATACCGCTAGTTGATATCATGTACTCCAGTTTCCAAGTACAACAACCTGAAGGTCTAAGACAGACAACTATTTTGGACTAACGGTAATGTCGACACACTGCAATTCCCCTTCCTTTTCTCTTTAGACCCACAAATGTTCTAAAGCTCTCACCCTCTTAAAACAAAAGCAAGCCTATGAAAGGTGGACTCCCTGAGCTGCTGACTGGAACAGAGCTCTCTACTGGCCTTTGGAGCATACGCTGCAAACCACACACCCAACAACAAAAAACTCCACCCACTAACATTCACTTAACAGTGAGCTAGAACAGCTATAACCTGAGAAAAGCTGCTGCCTGGCTGTTAAAGCCTGGCTTACTTGGCTCCTGAGTCAGCTCTGCCACTGCACAGGCACTTGGGGAAGCTTTCTAAAGCAGCAACACATGGACTTGGGTTGGGGTATACTTTAGAGACACTCTCTTAACTAATCGGACAGAAAAGCACTGCCCTGATTGGTTCCCCCTTGCCAAGCACAGCACCAAGGGGCATCAGACACCATGTTCCTCCTGGGCGCCTAGCCAGGAACTCCTTCTGCATCTTTTGAAGGTCTGCAGTGTAGTAAGAGCCAACCGGAGCATGTGCCGATTTTGATCAGCAGTGGCAAAACCCAGAGAGGAGAGAAAGGTGCATACATACTCAGTGAAGGCAACAAGTTGGCTACCTGCCAAGCAAGGAAGTTCTGCATATTTGTAGATGGTTGGTGGGGATTAGGGAGCTCTGGCAAATGCATTGTCCCTAATAAGAAATCATCCCAGCCATACATGAACAGAAGAGACTGCCTAGTTAGCCACTGCCTGTCCCTAACCCTAGTCCTAACCCTTCTGGGAAGAAAGACAAGAAGCAAAACTAAAATAATCATAATCATAAGTAACAGAAACAAGTGCCATGGAAATATCACACTAGTTAGTCAAAGAATGAGGTTCAAAAAATAAAAAAAGGTGAAGAGCAAAGGGATTTGAGGTCCTCTCCAGAATATTTTTCAATGTAACACAAGGGGCTCCAATGAGAAAGGTGTGTGTTGTCTGCATGTTGAAACACTAGGGGAGTTCTCTCGCTGCTGCTGCTCTGTCTTGCTGAAGCAACCATGTGCTTTGCTGATTTCAGAGTGCCTTCGAAAGAAGCCCTGGTCAGAACTTGCTGCTAGCCTCAAAGTGGTAAGAATACCCGTGGCTTAGTTTTCCAATAAATCAAGGCAAAGGGTTAAGAAGAAAGCAGGAACTCAGCCAGATCAGACCAAAGTGCAGCATCTTGTTTCCCACAGTAGTCAACCATCTGGGAAGCAGGACACAATGGCAAAAGTCCTTTTCTGCTTTTGGTTTCTCCATGACGGATATCTAGAAGTGTCGTGCCTCAGATCCTGGAGCTATCAGAGAGGGAAAAGCTAGCCTTTAGGCATGATGTCTAACTTATCTGGTATTCTCTTAAAGCCAGCTAAGTCAGTGATTACCCCCACATCCTGTGGAAGTAGATTTCATAGTTTCATTATGTGTTGTTCAAAATGACTGTACTACAATTCCCTTATCACGAGTTGTGAGGAAATTTAGATATTTCTCAAACATCTTCTGCCTTAGGGCAATATGTGATTTAATATGTGATGACTGAAGACAGATACACAGTCAATCTTCTGTGACTAGAAAAAACTACCAAAGGGAAGCAATCCAAGATTAGAGAACACAGAGCAACAAAAATTGGCTAACCTCACCCATTCTGCCAAAATCCGTACATGACATGTTTCTCCATGTAAACCAAGAACACATGAACTCTGTACTTCTAAGCATGCATTGTTCCATGAAATAAAGTAAAACAAAATGAATAGATGCTAACACAATATAATTAGACTGGGCAGTTTTAAGACTGTAATTAAATTGGGTGTGCACCCAAATCAGCATGTTCAAAATGTTTAGTATATTTTCTTAAAAGAGGAATGTCAACCTCACAGTCTCTCCCTCTATCACAGGAACAATATAATGATATTTGCAAATATATATCTGTAGCTTCAACCATAACACCAAATGGGTTAAAATAAGCTTGTTTGGCAAACTAATTTTAACCATTTGGGTGCTCCACAGCGCCTATGGGTGCAATATGGGTGCACATATTTACAATGTGCAACCTTCTCTGGCTTTCAGGGAATGGCAAGGGTTGCATGAAATCTAAGGGCTGCATCTGCCCATGTTTTTCCTTAAATGTAAGCACTGCACTAGAACTATATGGCATTATGTTACCATGTCTTCAAATCAGAGACAATGGAATTCAAATTTAATCTGATTTGTTGGAATATTCCCACCATTATGGCCAGGTGCACAAATCACAATGAAAAGAGACACCATGCCTTCCCTCTGCCTCGTACCTGACAGTAACACAATGTGCAATTTGCCTAGTTATCCTCAGTGCATGCCTCTTGTGTCATCTGAACCTGAAGAGGTGTGTGGCAGCTGCTGGCTTTAAATTGCAACAACAGTAACAACCAGAACCGAAACCCTGCAACAAGCCAGGGGTTTCAAAGCAACCCCCACCATGCACCTCAGATAACATGGGAAGTGACACACCGCAAAAGTCAGCAGGTAAATTATGTGCATGACTGGCTCACATGGAGGCAAAAAGAAGAGGTGACCATGATCTTGCAAATTCTGCCTGAATGTGCTTGATCTGTTTTGCCCTGATCAGCTGTTTCTAAGAAGTTGTGCAGCGTGCAAAGTCAAAGTAGTCTATCTTTTCAGATACTTTCACTATATCTAAGGTTAAGCTTGCAAGTAATTCCAAGGTGCTATGAAGCCTTGTGTGGCTGGGACCACATCATCTGCAGGGCTGCCTCTCCCAGCTTCAA